GGCAATATGCTGATGCAAGGGTGGCGGGAAAGGAGAAGGTTTTAATTAGAATGGCGGCAGATTGTAGGAAATATTGAGTAGGTAATGGGGTAGGTGATGGGACCACGGTGGTCGAGCGAGTTAGGGCGAATTAAAAAATTGTATATCAAGTTTTCAAATCCCGTTAGCTGGAATTAATAACACAACAAAAAATAAATTAAAATTAATAATTGCAGGCCCTACTTGACAACTTAGAGCCCTACGGCGCGGGTTCGATTAGCGTATAGAGACGGTAACGTCCCCACTTTGAGATTCATTTGAGCGAACCCTTGTTTTTTACACCATAGCTCCTAGTCCTCCATGTTGGGGGGGTTGGGTATAGGACTGATAAGTCAACAGGCGGAGGAGAATTAAAAAATAATAATTAGCAGTGAGTGAGGGATTGGTGTACGATGACAGCAATGTCGGCATGTGCTGTACCGTCAGGATGGTCAGTACGATATGTCAAGTATTGCGGTATTTTGAAGATTTGTTTAGTGGTTAGCCGAGTTTCAGTAATTAGTGCACATCAATGTTATATGATATCAAGATTATTTCTTACGTTCGTTCTTCATTTGATCTTGCCCACAGGCGGATCTACGGGGGAGGGCTTTCGGGCTGAAGCCCCCCCTCCCCCCCAAAAATGGTAAAATATAACCATGCTTTACAGAAAAAAAAAATTAAATACTATCTCTTAAAGTATTCTTGTTCGTGTAATTATATTTAATAAGACTTCAAGAACCAATTAAACACTACTTCATATAGGTAGTTAATTTCTTTCCTTTTTTTAAAAATTAATTATCGTTATATGTATATGAAAAAAATCTTACGGCTGAAGCCCCCCCCCCAAAATGAAATCCTGGAATCCTATCTGTATCTATCTGTACCTATCTGGAATCTAATCCTATCTGTCTAGTCACGTCTCCGTATGTTTACCACAAACAACACTGTAACCGACGAGAACCATGCGATCGAATGTATCAAATGATTTAGGCTGCCACTGCCTTCCTCATAGCTACATCTGCTTGTTACCCTTGATAAATACGCTGATGAGTACTTAGGGTGCTGTGTAATCTTTACATACTCCCTCTGCTCTGGGTATGTCCCGGTGTATTGAAATGCCAGGATACGTCTAGCCTTTTTGCTTCTTCCCTTATAGCAGCACTGTCGAATTCTCTTCCTCCGTCCAACGTTATGTTATCTGGCACTCCATAAAACTATGCCCAAGTTTGAAGAGCCCTCACAACACCCTTCGAAGATCTGTCCTGCACTCGTTGTGCCATAGCAATTTTACTGAAGACTACTCGCAACCCTTATAATTGGCAAACCAACGCACTCATCTCCTATATTATTTATTGCCGCTCCTCTCCCACTCTCCTCATTCTTCATTTCTTCCTATCCTCTCCGCCGCTATTCTTTTTCCGTTCCGGACGTCCCTGATGAATCTCCTGAATCAGATTCTGCTCTTCTCCTTCTACATAATCTTTGTGCGTTTACTTCCATTGGTTCAACGCGACCTGTTTCTCCTCGCCTACTCATTTAGGGACATTGCCTTGCGATTTGCCCCTCGTTACCACACTCAAAACATCTGGTCCGCGGACAATTTGCTACCAGGTGTCTTACTTTCAAATATCCATAGCATCTCCAGTCGTCCTTCTTTAAATTCCTCCTCTCCTTACCCGACTTTTTCTCTCTCATTACCGTCCTTTCTCTTCTACCAAAATCTCCTCCTCTTTTCCTCCACATTTTCGGCCTAGCTCTGGCCCTACCAGTTTCAGTTCTTCTGTACGTCACCTTATTCCACCCGTCCTCAGACTCTTCTATGCCCCGAGCATCCTTATCTCGAGCACTAGCATCTATCAACTCCTTTGCGCATTCCACAAAATTCTTCTCCCGAGGGAACCCATCTTTCTTTTCCGTGTCTCTTGCCAACTGTACTTTTAGAGTGACTGCCAGGAAAGCCATCCTGAACCCAGCTTCTGCTACATTCACTGCTTCCTTCATTTTCTCAGTCATGCTACTGAAACGAGCTAAAAGGTTATTCGCATAATTTGTCTGATTAGGTTTCTTCCTCCCTCAAAATCTGCAGAATGTATTTTTCCGGAGCCCGTCGGCCCCCTTGAGATGCCTTCTTCAGTTTATCCATCACAACCCCCCATGGGATGTCATTTAAGCTACTTCTTTTACCTCGACATACCATGGCTGCTCTCAGTGCGTTAGCATCCCTCGGATCTATCAGACTTTCCTCCTCCTCTGCTAGTATACGTGGTATCACACGATCACCACCCTTAAGAAAGTGATTCAACTCACCGATTCCGGCGTCTAACCTCTCGAGATCAGATATTGCTTTCCTCAGATCCTGCGAAGTTGCGGTTTTCACCTTCAGCCATTTTAAAGTATTCGCGTGCGCGAGATTTGTAGGGACATCTCCGCTGCTAAACCTTCCGACGACAGCTGAGGAACCTCCGGCGGGGGAATCAACGGGGTGACCGGTGGTGCAGTTAGTACTGACGGGTTTACTATTCCTTTCGGCATCCTACCTTTTTATTATTTCTGGTAATGTAAAAAAAAAATACTATAATATCTCAATTTGAAGTCCCTTGTTTCGGCACTACTTACGAACGTCCTGAATCTTACTAACTCCTGGTGTTCATCTTCGCTCTCTCCACCTCTTTTCTGGAGTTATGTAGTTTAAAAAAACAGATGGAGTAACTTTGTTTTTATTGCCTACAGTTGATGTAATAAATAGGGTTTTTGTTATTCTTAATGATTAGTTAGCTGTAAGCTTTAGGCATTAGCTTCGTTTAAAATGGACTTTAAAAATATTATAATAGCCCATCATTGCCAGAAAATAATTTTTATTCAAAGAAGAGCGGTAAGTGAAAGTTGTGTGTTCTGCGGACCACATTTTTTTTTATATAACAATTCATCTGTAACAGTTTTAAAGGATCCTAAAAAGGAATCTAATTTGATTTTTCATAACATAAATTTACTTGGCCTACTTTACTGAAAGCACCTTTTGGTTTTTGTAATTTATGATACATTATAACTCATTTAATACAATAGTTAACATTTTATTCTTATTCTGCACAAAAAAACCATGACAACCTAAAAGTCTGGGCAAAGCAAAGGCAAAAATAAATAACACAAATTTTGTTTGAAATTATATAAAATATTTTTTTCTCGGCTCCTAGGACTCATAAGAAAGAACACCAGGATATGAGTTAAATATTTTTTGATGAAGTATAACCGAAAAAAATTGGTTGAAATCGATGACCCATGGACTTAATCCTCTGCTGGTCAGTTTCTACACAAAATTTATCCTTTAGTTTTATACCATCACATTCACCATTGAAAAAAAATTATCTATTACTCATTATCAGTCATTTTGTCTTTATTCTGACAGTTTTGCATCAATTTTTATACACAGATATTAAACATGAAGCATACCAAAGCTTTTTGCTTTTTATTATCACAACCGAACTCAATTGAGATGATAATTTTATGTACTGCCTTTGTTTATTTACATTGCTGTATTCAGTTTCCTCCTCTTTTAGGTAATTAAAATGTGTTTTATATTGGTATTAATTAATGTTTCCATTTTTATAACTGCGATCTATTTTCTATTTCTATGGATACATTTTATGTATTTCAAATTTATTTTTTGTAACTCTGTACTCGCTTTTTATGAGATATTTGGGGAGAGAGAGATCACCATGAGAGGCCTCTGTTTTGCGTCTCGCGGAACGATTCCAAAAAGAACAAGGAGCTTCCTCGAGGAACTAGGTGTCGACATTAAGGACATAGCAAGGATGGCTGAAAATATAGTCCTCGACTTCCTGAGAATCATTCACTAACACGTGCATGCGTAGGGTGAGAGTTTTAATTTATGTATTTATTTATTTATAGAAAAATGTTTATAGTAATTGTTTTATATTAAATTGTATTTAATTCTAGATGTATATACATGTTTGTTTTTTGTTAAGAGAGAGAAAGGGAAATTAAATGTAAAAAAAAAGCATGAACAAAGAAAGAAACAATAATATAATAATATAATATATATATATATATATATATATATATATATATATATATACATATATATATACATATATATATTTATTATACTCATATATACCAACCACTTCTGTATATTTATATATAAGCTTTATTTATTGTCTTACGGATTAACCAGTATGCTGTGTGTCTAGCAACCCAATATAATTAGGCAGCAAGCTTTTATATTTTATATGAAAATAAAGTGTTTCTCTCTCTCCTGCATCTGTTTCATAAGTCCGAGGCATAAAAAAAACACATGTAAATACTATAAGATACACAAAACTTCAGGATATAGATTTGTATGGAAAAAAGAGAGTTAATTGAGTATTCAACATATTATTTTATACAAAATAACATTTATTAAAATTAATAAAAATCATAAAGCTTTTATAAAGCTAACAATTTAAACAAAAACAATATATTTGTCAATATTATTAAGTAACTTTTAAAGATTTTTTCTGCATTATCTCAAAGCAGCATACCAAATAAGATTGATTGACAGCCGATTTAAAAATAAAACTCTAACAACAAATTAGAAATCAATATAAAAACATATGAGACAAAAAAAGTAACAAATACCTAAATTTGTATACATTATTGTTTGAATGTTTTCTAAAATTAAAGACTAATGAATCACAACCATGGCACTTCCTTTAATTCATAAACCCAACTTAAGGTTTTAATTAATAAATGGGATGACTAAGCAAATGAGAAAAATAAAATGATATGATTTCAAGAAGTGTCATTTTTCTGACAATGGTAATAACATTAAATTTCTATTAATATACCAGTATTCCTGTACATTTTATCAATTAAAATATATTTATTTTAGTTTTTATGTTGTAGGGATCCCAACATATAACATGCAAATGAACATAAATTTCTGCTTGTAATACTATGCTCCATGATATGGTGTATATATGTCAAGATTCAGATAACATTTCTTCAATAGTTTTGTCATCATGTAAGGGAAATCCAGAAAGTGCAGTATCACTTTCTAAGAATTCCCTCAATTCAGATTCAAAATCAACTCCAACCCCAACACATGGCTCTTCTTCACCACTACTCTCACCTCCTTCTAATGATACAACACCCTGTTAAAAAGAAGAAAATAATATAAATGAATAATAATATTAGAAAATAGCTAAATTAAAATAAGCCAACACTAAATAGACACTTCATAAGCATTTAATTAAGATTGAAGTGATCCTATAATGGCAATACCCAGAACAAATTCAAGTTATAAACAAAAATTTGCAGTATAATGGGATCTTGTAATGAGTTTTAGAGTATCTCTATTATAGTGAAAGATGTCATTGCTGTTATTAATTTTAATGGCAAAGCCTGGATATTGACATTGGTTACATCCGTACCATATTTCAGATTGTAAAGTATGCCGTGTTAGGGTTCACTGTGTCACAGAAGGGATTCATTAAGAAAAAGACTAAACCAAATATGACAAAGAGAAACATGAAGGAACAGAACCTATCAAAGAGTGAAACACTTTGGGTGAAAGGTTCAAGAAATCTTCCAGAAAAATTATAGTCACAATTGTAAAGATTGGAAGAGATTGTCGTGGTCCAGTTAAGCTGTCGAAAAATACCAGAATCTTTGTACCTGTTGCCAAAAAACCTTACAGGGTGAGAAGTCAATGCTATACTAAATCATGGTCAACACAGGTTGCAGGGTGACATTGATTCCAATTAATGATCACAGCTATTTAAGTAATCGACTCAGCTATTCAGTGGATTAGACAAATAATTAAACAATATTTAAGTACCAAATCAGATGAAATCTAAGAAAAGAGGCAGGTAATGACCATAACAGGTTTGGTCACAGTGTCTGTTCAACCTTTGGATCGTTCAGAGTTTTGATTATCTATTATCAATCAGTGTTAATAAGTGTATAAAACAATGTGCTGGAACCTCAGGGCTCCAAACTCAGCCTAAGCAGAGACAAAACAGCTACATAAAATAAAAATAAATAATACAATATCCCACTAAGTAATAGTTTTTCATAATTAACCGATGACATTATCAAGAATCGTAAGCAGAATCAATAAACAGTGTACAAATAAACTCATCCTCACCAATAATTGTCTATAACACATTTGATAATTATGAAATGTTGTATCAATAAATGAAAATAAAATAGGCGAAATTAATGTCAAATACAGGAAAAACAAAACTAATTTCATAACTTATAATATCAAAGATTTTACAAAGGCCCAATCACAATTATTAGAAAAAGAGCATGAATTTCATTCTTATGCTCCAAAAAGTGAAATTAAACCAAAAATTGTAATGAAAGAAGCTTCCCCTAATTTTGAATAAGATTTCATTAAAAATGACCTTATTGCGAAAGGAATAAAAGTTAACAAAGTAACTCAAATGATGATATAAAAAAAAAATAAAAAAAAATTCCATATGTAAAATTACCAACATGGATTATCACACCCGAAGAAAAACAGCAAAAAAATATGATTAAAAAAATAAATGCAGTGGGCAATGTCATAGTCTCTTGAAAAAAATATACTAATAAAAAAGAAGTTATCCAATGTTTCAACTGCCGAGCTTATATTCATCTATCTATCAACTGCCATAAAAAATCTGTAAGACTGAAATGCTTCATTCTACATCATTCTAATGAATGTCTATGTATGCCTAAACGAAAATATCAAAAAATTTATTCCGAAATGTGCCAACTGCAAGGGTACACACATTGCAAACTCTAAAGAATGCCCACACTAAGAAAAAATGCTATCCTAAGACTCAGTAAACAAACTTCTTGAGTCGAACTATCAAGTCTGAAAAATATAAAATCTAAAAAAGAATTTCCAAAGCTTCCTAAATCTTCAGCTAAATGGCCACATGAGAATTTTGTACAACAAGATAAGGAAAAGGAACCTTCTATGATGGATATGATAAAGGACATTAAATCAGTGTTCAACAACTTCAATATTTCTTCTACATTAAAAAATTTCAAACAAATATTGGCCAAAACAAACACAGATCCAAAAGATGGAATTTTACAATTCATTCATTCATTATTTGAAGATGTCATCTCTCCTTCCGATTAATGGACAGTAAGTATTATCTTTTCAAAACATTATTATATTAATAATTTTTCGGTTTTACTTACTTTATCGATCTGATAATATCCTACAATTCTTAGAAGTACATTCAGTTTACTTCAGAATTAATAACAATATTCTAATGTACAAGACCTTTAAACATTCACTTATAAACAACACTCGTATCTATATATATCACAATCATAATAAACTGGAAAAGTTGCTTATTTATCAACGATCCCAACAACCTAACATTATTATCCTCTATTCAACAATACTATGGTTCTAGTAATATTATATGTGATATATTTCAGTTCCATAACAAACTTTAATCAATATTTAATTTAAAAAATAATGAAATATTCATACTTGTAAATGGCTAACTATTTAAACTGTATGCTATGGAATGCCAGATCGGTTAAAAATAAATCCTCTAACATTCCAAATATCCTGGCTATAACCGAAACCCATTTAGCCAATTTAGATAAAATGAATATTCCTACTTTCAAAATTCATAGATCAGATATAAATTGATATGGGGGAGGCTATACTATACTATCCCACAAACGGTTGATCTAAACCCAGTACACTTGATATATTATTGTCAAAATCTTTTTATTCACTGAGCCGTATAATTTCACTACCAATCTTAAGTATGGATCACAACCTGGTATTAACAACCTCTATCCTCGATAGGATGTTATTTTCAAAAAGTAGGCACATGACAGCATAATAATAGACCCTATTAAATCGGAATATGTACATTAAAACAATATCCGTAAGTGTAACATAAAATCAATAGTATTTTAAAAAAACTCAACTTAGGGGAGCATAATAATAGACCTTCATATTGGAGGAGGGAGGGAATGGCTTTTATTTAAAGAAAAATTTAAAAATTTCGAAACATTAATTCGAAACGGAAATGGTTGAATTTGAATTGGAAAAGGTTTAATTTGAAATGTAAATGGTTGAATTTGACTTGAAAAAGTTTAATTTGATTAGGAAAAGGTTGAATTTGACTTGGAAAAAATTGAATATGCCATGGAAATATTATAATGAAAAAATCTAAAGTTAACATAAATGGATATGCAACCACGTTATCATAATTTTTTTTTTGTATTTTTCAAAATCTATGCCTTCGATAATATAGTGAGTGGCCTTCATTTCGAAAAAAATTGACAAAAATTCGAAAGTTGAATTTGAAATGGAAAAGGTTCAAATAGACTTGGAAATGCTATATATGGGTTCAAACATGTAAAAACCATAATTCCTAATACGAGCAACCAAGAGAAAACTTATTACTGCCAAAAAAGACATAATTTTTCAATTTTTTTTTTGTTTTTTCACCTATAACTCCTAAACGGTGCAATAAAGCAAAAATGTATTCTTTAAGGAATTAAAGAATACACTGAGTATAATTTAAAGAAAACAATCATAAAAAATTTTGTAACTTACATCAACGGAATTATTCATAGGTAAAACTGTATTAGTGGCTGTAGATACAAGGGTTGTTTCAGGAACTATTCCCATTGCCTTTCTAATTGCAGGAACAGGAATTATGGCTCCTGGAGGTACTTGTTTAGCCAATTCTGTCAAACTTTCTGTTATTTTCTCTGCTACAAAGAGAAAAACATATGATAAAAGGAAGAAGCAATAAATAGTGAAGCATAGTAAATTAAGTTATACGATTAACAATTCATTTTGTAAGTCTTAAAAATATATCAAAAGATTTATATATTCACTAAGAGGCAAAAAATTCCACCCACTTGATTTTTTCATGTTTTCATCTAAAAATATTTCTGCTTTGGATTGGTCTATTGTTTTTAATGAATAAATAGATAATCTTTTTGTTTATTTTCAATTAGGAATGTTAATATAGAGGACAATAACCCTTAATCCTTAATTCAATGAAATGATTCTAGATTCCAATGTTTAATTTCTATGGAATCAAAATGTTAATTCAGTATCATTAGTTCAGTGCCGTTTCTTGCAGCACGTTTCTTAGTCTCCGGCTTTTAATTTTTTCAATATTAAGTTTAAAAATGCCTCTTAGTGCTGAGGATGTTGCGCGTGGTGTGGCACTCATTGATGATGGACGTTCCATTAGATATGCAGCTAATGCCATTGGAGTTCCATATGAAACTTTACGAGACGACATCAGGTGTTTTCAGGAAACTGGTTCTTACAATAAAAGGCCCGGTTCTGGACGGCCTAGGGTAACAGAACCACGGGATGACCGGTTTTTGACTTTGAGAATTTTACGAAACCGGTACCTTACCATTGTTCAAGCGATTCATCAGCTCGAAGTTCGGGGTGTGCAAATTTCGGAACGTAACCCTTGGAGAAGATTAAATGAGTATGGATTAATGGCTTTTCGTCCAGTAAGAGGACCAGAGTTGACCAGAACTCACAGAGTAACACGGCTGGCTTTTGACCGAGAACACAGCCATTGGACTATGGACGAATGGAGTGCTGTACTTTTTACAGATGAGTCAAGATTCGCTCTTCGATCTCCAGATGGGCTTAAAGAAGAAGAAATGAAAGATATGCAGCCTGTAATTTTTCCCAGAGCCAACCTTTCCAACATAATTCCTTAATGGTGGGATTTCAATGGAGCGCCGCACAGAATTGGTTGTTGTTCGTGGAGGGTCTTTGATGGCCATTCGCTATGTTGATGAGATTTTGGAACCTCATGTGTTGCCTATCCTCAACGAAATCGGCGATCGTTCTATTCTAATGCACGCCCACATAGTGCAGACGTTCCTTCAACAGAACAATATTGAGGTTTTAGCCTGGCCAGCACGTTCTCCAGATTTGAACCCCATTGAGCATTTATGGGATAACCTCGGAAGACGAATAAGAGCGCGTGCAACACTTCCTGATTCACTGCAGGACCTTGAAAGGACTCTTCGGGAGGAATGGGCTATCCTCCAGCACAGGAACATTTCCCGACTGGTGGAAAGTATGCCGAGGCGTTTTCAAGAAGTAGTGAAGGCAAGAGGAGAAAACACGCGCTACTAAAGGATGATGTAATTAATTTCTTTTAGAATAATAATGGTTCGTTTTTCAATTTTTTTTTCTCTAATCTTTCTTACCCAATCACATTTTGATTATTAAAGGTAAAAAAGATTATAAAATTCCATAAATACTAAGTATTATCTGCAAATACCATGTATTATATACAAATACAACTTTTTTTACAAGTGGGTGGAATTTTTTCCCTGTCAGTGTATAGTAGGGTGTATAAAAAAAAAAAAAATGACCGTTTTATCAAATTCAAGATTTCGAAGGACTGTAAATATTTTAATGTATTCAATACTTACCAATGCTCAATAATTCCTTTAGAGCATTTTCTAAGCTTGTTTAATTCCACACAACTTCTTAAAAAAAAAGTCTCAGTTTAGTTATTTGTTTCAAAGAAGAGACATAACAGTGTCCTATGAAATTCTCATAATTAAGGAATTACTGGAAAATAAATTTCACAGCAATTGAAGATTCTGTTAGTCGCCATATAATTTCCACGGGGAGGTGAAAAAGAGCAGTGGACTGGTCCCTCACGAACTTACTCCTCAGCAATCAGCTAAGAGGTTAGAAATTTGTGAAAATTTATTGAAAAACCCTTCTGATATGAGACTCCTGCCTCATCCAGCATATAGTCCAAACCTCACACCATAGGATTACTACTTCTTTAGATCCATGGCCCATTTTCTTCAAGGAAAAAAATTTGATAATTTTGTGGAAGTTGAAATTGCGGTGCAAGAGTTCTTTGACAGCCATTTCAAAGAATGGTATCAGCGTGGGATCAAGCAATTGGCTAGCAGATAGCCAATGATGGTAGATAACAATGGACTATACTTTGAGTATTAATTGTATTTTATACCAAAGAAATAATAATACAAATATTTGGTTAAAATACCATCATTTTTTTTATACACCCTATTATATATAATTTTACAAAATTTCTTCAATCGACCTTTGAGTATTATATTTTAACATAAATATTTAAATTGGGGATTAGGTCACTTATTCAATAAACTACAAAATGTCCATTGATCCTGTTGTTATAGTCTTCTTTATATGATTTTAACAATGATAAACTCTACTTTCGTTTAAAGACAAATTTGTTCTGTTTACTATGGAGCAATCTTTAATTACTTAAATCGAAATTTTTTTAGTTATCGCTTCCTGTTCAACAAAAAACGTGATCTGCTTAAAAAAACACAAATCTTAAATTTTGTACTTTTCAGGCGGCCACAGATCTACAAGGCCTGTAGAGCCAACCAAAAAAAAAAAAAAAAAAAATGTATATTTGTTCGTTTATTTCATTAAATTAATCAAAATATGCAATTATATGCTTTTATCCTCAAATATGATATTATATGAATTTATCCTCAAATATTCAATATAAAATTTGGTTAATTGCATCACAGTGTACTAATTCGTCTAGATATTTAATCAGTGGTAAAAAAAAAATGATGCAAACAAAATATTTAATTGCATAAAAATCACGGCATCGGTAATAATATGATTAAATTTTATCAAAGTAATTTTGCAGAAACTTAAAAAATAAATATAAAATACGTACCAAGATGAAGTTCTGTTTCAGATGGAGGTAAAATTTGACTCAAGTGTGGAGGCGGAGCTGTTGAAAGCCTGTCATTTTGAACTTGTTGTAGTTTTTCAAGAAGTGCTGTAGTATGTTCTAATTTTTCTTGAACAACAGTATTATCTTTCATTCCTTCTGAATAAAAACATTAGAAGTGAAAAACTAATTTTATTCTCTTTACAGCATATAAGTTACAAATAAAACATTCAAGTGATACTTGAATAGAATTAACACAATCAATGATAAGTACATCAACAGTTGATCCAATATAAACAAGAAAAATTGAATATAATTGAGTGAAAAAAGTTAATTGTATGGAATAGAGTGAAAATGCTACATAAGTAAAGATTACAAATATAACTGAATAGCACTTAAATAAGCTATGTATAAATATGTTATTATACAGTATTTCCCATAAAAGGTAATGGTAGACCTCAAGAGCTACAAAAGAACTTATATAAACCATGGTTCTTAAATTTTATATTTTTATAAGATATATAGCTTATGTCTTTAAGTTGATACATGTATTATTCTTAATGAATGGAGCAACTAAAAATCAGCAATCAAATATATATCATGCTCCGATTTTTCCTAGAAAAGCAAGAAATTTAAGTTTTGTGACCTTTTTTAGGAAGGCACGTTGTTTGATGAATAGGAAGTGATTACAAAAAAAAAGATTAATTTAGGTAATTAACAATTATTTCATAGTATATAAGACAAATTTCTTTCAGAAGGAATATTTTGTTTTAGTTAAATTCATTTAAAGGGCTAAACTGCGCTAAATTCTCTTATTAACCATTTTATTCGCGATTTTTTTTTCTTTTAACATTTCCCAATTAAACTACAGATATTCCACTTTCAGAAAAACATCTTTGTTACATAACTACATATATATCGATTTATATAAAGAATGAGAGCAGTTGAATATATAGCTAATATGAAAGTTACTTTTTTCTAGGAATATAAATATATAGAAAAGCTAGGAATATAAACATAAAGTTATATATAGTTGCTGCAACTTTTGAAGGGTTGAAGATAAAATAGTAAAATAATATATATTTTTGAAGAATTTTAATGTTTTATCCTGTGTCTATTATGTACGATGAAAAGTTAAAGAGTTAGCTAGTTTTTAGTCAAATAAAGATAAAAAAGCAAGGCTGTAGTATGGATTATTATTATTGTTAGAAATTAATGTAAAAACACGTGATGTTGTACATTGTTAAAAAATATATAGATTGATTCATTTGGGAACTTACTCAACCTTTGTTTTTGTCTAAATACAATCATTACATGTGGCGACAATGGTGAACAGGCAGAAAAAAAGAAACTCTAGAAAAGACAAGGGGTTGGATGAGGAAGTTGATTTTTCTGAGGCCATTGACTCATCGGGTACCAACGAAAACAGGTTAACTCGAAGTAAATATAATCTATAAGAACGAGTAAGTACATTTGTGTTTCCTCCTTATCATAATTAAGAAAAATGGGAATATTATATAGACCGTTTTGAACTTGAGTTAGAAATAAAAAATATAAATGGTAACGACGAAATCATAGAGAAGTCACAACGCAATTTATTGTTAAAATGTGTGGGAGCAGAGTTGTATAAACTGGTAGTGGATTATTTCCATCCTACAAAAATTACTCAATTATGTTATTCTGAAATAAAAACATTTTTAGATACATATCTAAAACCGATTACAAGTTATCTTGCAGAAAGAGTAAAATTTGGGCAAATATTCCGTGACAAAAATCAGTCAATAGCATCATTTTTAATGAAATTGCGATCAGCAGCAAAAGATTGCAAATTCGGAAATAATCTGGAAGAACGATACGTGATCAATTTTTGTTAGGATTGAAAAACTCGTCGATGCAGGAGGAGCTTTTTTGTCGTCATCCAGAGGAAAACGCAAGCCTAAAAGAAATAGAAAAATCCGCTCTTATTATTGAGTTAGCCCAAGCACAAAGAAAAGTCACAGAGGATACGGCAGAGGAAACTCATATCTGTAGGATAGCTAAGACCAAGCAGGGAAATAAAATAATTAGAATGGTAGATCCAGCTACAGAATGTATTCGTTGCGGGTACCAGAAACATAAACAGGGTAGTAAATGTCCAGCTAGCGAACACACCTGTAGACTTTGCAATTTTGGGAAAGGAATTGTTTGAAATCTGGCAAAATTAAGCTAAATAAAAGAAAGGCGAAAATAAAATCAGTAAATACAGTAAGTTCAGAGAACTCTACAGATAGCGAATATGAAGTCAACACCGTACTAGACATCAACGCGATTACTTCAGATAATTCTCGGTTTTTGGTCAGGGTTCAATTAAACAGCAAAAATATTCGAATGGAATATGACACAGCTGCTGCATGTAGCATTGTTGGAGAAAACGTATGGAAGTATATAGGAAATCCACCACTACAAAAGACCCGTAATTTAAGGGCTTACCCTAATTCCTTGTTGAATTTGTTGGGGGAATGCTCGGTGTCAGTTAAAGTAGGAAAGCAAAGTCTAAAATTGAAATGGGTCGTGATTGAAAACGAAGCCACTCCTTTATTTGGTCGAGATTGGATTAAAGCTTTCAAATTATATCTTATGTGTAAACATGTGAAGTTAAGTAATGTTAACAACTCAGAAATTTCAAAAGTTTCAGATGAAAACCTCCAACAGGCTAAAAATAAGGTGTTTGAACAACACTCTGAACTTATCCAAAACGGCATTGGAACAGTGAAGGGATTCCAAGCCAAAATTCAGCTACGCGAAGGAGTAACACCAAAACTCTTTAAAGCTCGAAGTGTTCCGTTTGCTTTAAAAAGAGCAGCCGATCACGAAATAGACCGGCTTATTCAAGAAGGAGTAATAGAAAAAGTGGAACCAAAAGTGGAATTAAAGACAATGGTAGAATGGGCATCGCCAGTAGTTTTTGTGCCAAAGGCGGATGGAGCAGTGAGGTTATGTGGTGATTTTAGAGTTACCATTAATCCTCATATGATTGTGAATCCCCACCCTTTCCCAACATTTGAAGAAATAGTTCACAAACTTAGCGGGTTCCAGGAGTTTTCCGTTATCGACCTCAAAGATGCTTATTTGTAGATGGAAATAAGCGAAGAGTCAAAAAAATATCTGGTTATTGCAACACATCGAGGATATATGGACAAAAATTTGCAAGACATGGAAGGGGTAGCCTGGTTTTTAGACGACATAGCCACAGGAGGAAAATCTCGAGAACATTTACATCGCGTTAATCTGGTTTTAGAAAAATTGAAATCAGTAGGGTTGAAAACTCAGCCAAAGAAAGTAAAGCTGCTTGAAAAATAAATTAAATACCTTGGCCACAGAATCAACAGGAATGGGATTCAACCGTCTCATGAAGGGATTGCGGCTTTAAATGAAATAGCATCTCCAAAGAATGTTAAAGAACTGCGTTCTCTATTAGGCTCTCTAAATTACTATTCAAGGTTTATTCCGGATTTGCAAGGGACTTGTGCTCCTCTGCACAAATTATTACAGAAGGGGTCAAAGTGGAAATGGGCATCGGAGGAAGAACAAATTATTTCGAGCATTAAAGAAAGAATTACTGCAGATAAAACATTGGTACATTATGACAAGACATTACCATTAATGCTATTAACTGACGCTTCAAAAAAGGATGTAGGGGCATTGTTACAACATAGATACCCCGATGGAACACTTAGACCAATCTCAGCCGCCTCTAGAACTCTTAGCAAGAGTGAACAAAACTTTTCCACCACTGATCGGGAAGGTTTGGCAATAATGTTTGGAGTTAATAAGTTTTACGATTATTTGGTTGGGCGACATTTTGCATTACAAACAGACCATAAGGCACTACTAAGAATATTTGGAAACAAAAAAGAATTGCCAAAAATAGCAGCATCCAGATTGATAAGATGGAGTATTTTACTCAGCAGCTTTAACTACACAATTGAGTACAAGACTGGCAAAGAAATGGAACCCGTGGATGCTCTTTCGAGACTTCCATTGCCGACTACAGAGGCTTCTTTTTTAGAAGTGGGAAATAATAATTGTATTAGTAAAATTGGAAAAGTCGTCCGAGAAGAATGCTCGTTATCTAAGACCATCATAAAGAAGGAGCTCTGGAAAGACAAAGTGATAAATAAGGTGTTAAAGTATATAGAAAGTGGATGGCCAAATAAAAAGAAGTTGATAGACGACGAAACTCCCTTTTATAAGAAAAGAGAAGAGCTGGGTATAGAAGAGGGTTTACTGATGTGGATGAACAGATTGGTAATTCCAAAGTCCTTAAGAGGAGTTGTGTTGAAAAAACTCCATGAAGGATATCCTGGCATAGAGGCTACTAAGTCTTTAACAAAATTGACTGTTTGGTGGCCTAAAATTAATTCGGAAATAGAAAAGTTAATTAAAAATTGTGAGGTTTGTCAGAAAAATCGTCCAAGTGAACCTGAAACATTTTTGAACCCTTGGAACATTCCGGAAGGACCTTGGGAAAGACTCCATATAGATTTTACTGGACCATTTGAAGGACTATCCTGGTTCGTGCTTATCGATGCTTATTCTCGTTGGCTAGAAATTTTTCCAATGAAATCAGTAACAGCTAGGAAAACTATCCATGTATTAGAGTCGCTATTTGCAAGATATGGGATTTGGAAACAAATCGTTTGTGACAATGGAAGCCAATTCGCGTCAAAGGAATTCAAGAGCTTTTTAAGAGACAATGGAGTGAAACAAATATTTACAACGCCCTATCATAGTCGATCAAATGGGATGGTCGAACGTGCAATTAGAACATTTAAACAACATTTCCGAAACGATACTACTTATACAGATAAGCAGGAAAGGTTGCGAGTAACGTTGTTTGCGTACCGAACTAAAATACACAGCTCAACAGGAAAAACGCCGGCAGAACTCTTCATTGGCAGAAGGTTGCATTCACTATTGGATCGTTTAAAACCATCCGTGAGAGATAAGATGGAAGAAAGCAGGCTAAAACAAAAAATGTACCACGATAGAAAGGGACAAGAACGCAGTTTCGAAGAAAGTGAGCAAGTTTGCGTTAAACATAAGGACATAGAAGGATGGGTAAAAGGCATCGTGATTAGAAAAAAAGGGCCTCTCTCTTATGACATAGAAACGAGTGGGAAGCTAATGCGATGCCATGCTGATCATATGAGGAAGCAATCAGAAAGAAGGGGGGAATAATGTAGTATGGATTATTATTATTGTTAGAAATTAATGTAAAAACACGTGATGTTGTACATTGTTAAAAAATATATAGATTGATTCATTTGGGAACTTACTCAACCTTTGTTTTTGTCTAAACACAATCATTACAGAAGCAAAACTTGTAATTTTCTATATTAGCGAATTACGAGAATGGTTATCTAGGGAACTACGTGAGATAACTAAAACATGAATATAATCAACCTTCATTCAAAATTTGTCAACTTTAATTGCCTATAGAACATGATCACCACTTGAACGCTTAAGCGGACCCTACACGGTAATTCATGAATGAACGTCACAAGAATGGCAAAGATTGCTCGGGATCGCTTTAATCATGGAGACCCCTACACGTTCAATCATTACTGATCATTACTTATCGTTGCTGACACCAATTTAGCTCAGTTGTAAACAAAGAAACAGCATAGATATGCTTATTTGGACATTGTCATTTATAATATTGGGCATCAAGAGAAAAATGGAGATATAATAATTACTTCCTAGTGCCTGAAAATCGTTTAGACCAAAGTTAGAAAAATATAAGTCAACTACATACAAAAATCTAGGAAAAGTATTGCGAAAATAATCAATTTGTTAAGAAAAATGGAAAAATTAATGACAAATAAACACAACAGTTAAAGATTTTTTTTCTATAAGTAAATTGGGAAGTTTCCACTTTTTTTTTTTTCAATTTATTGCCTACTTGACTATTTAAAGAAAAAATAGTTGAAAATGGTTAATAAAAATATAGACTAGGTATATAAACAACTATTTACTTTTATGAAATTATTTACTTAAAAACGAGACCTAGGTAAACTAACCTACCTAGTAGTAAGGTTAGTCTCATAGAAAATTGTTTTGACAAAAGTTAGTAAAATATAATTCTACTACTTACAAAAATTAAGGAAAGGTATTGCGAAAATAATAAATTTTTTGAGGAAAATGGGAAAGAACTGACAATTATACATAACATTAATTTTTTTTTTCTTAAAGTAAATTGTAAAGTTTCCACATTTTTTTTTTAATTTGTTGCCCACTTGACTATTTAAAAGAAATAGTTGAAGATAGTTTAAAAATATAAACAAGGGATATGAAAAATTATTTAACTATTTACTTATAATGAAAATCAGAAATTTATAATGGTTGTGAGGCCTAGATAACCTAACCTATCCAGTAGTATGGTTAGTCTACCCACTACTTTTACCTCAGTCCCCTCTCCACTTCTCGTGAATGAACCTTTGATTTCCGGATGTTCGGAAATCTGCAACGCACCACCATCAGTACTTCATTCACTACCTTACACAATAATTCGGAACGTCATTAGTGCCTCGGAATGCAATTCCGAATGACCGTGTAGGGTCTGCTTTAGGTTCCTTATATAAGCAGAAATCCGAAGGATCCTCTCATATCTCACTCCTCTGTTAGGATTTGGGAATTTAAGTATGATTATTTCTTAAATAGTTTAAAAATTCCTAGTAAAAAATCGTGTTCCATCCATTTCCATTTATTGACTGGAATTATGAAATTCCTGGCCTATTTTTTAAACAATTAATTGCAATTTTATTATCATATTTTGACCAATGACGGAAAACGGTGAATTTTGATGCCTAAAATATCAATTTTTTAATTAGAGTCTGCCGGTAGATCGCCGCTGCCTAAATTTGGCAGACAATTTTATTTCTTCCTTTTATCACACGAATTTATAATTCCAAGGATCCTAAAGTTGATAAATTTTTTATTCCAAAGTTGCAATTTTTTAATTAAGTCTGCCATATGATAGCAGCAGCACAGAAATGGCAGACCGCTAAAAATCGACAACTTTTGGTAGAAATATTTATTAATCTAAGTTTCATTTAGCCTGCGATGAGAGCTATTTCAGGCAAATTTGGACCTCTTTGTTTGGCCGCCATTTCTAAAGCAGCGGCTATGGAATGGCAGACAAAGCTTATTTTAGTTAATATGTTATACACTTTCATAATTTACATTCATATCTTCGCCAACAATTAAGTCCGTTTCTTGACCCTGGTTCCAGGGCTCGAAGAAATCCCATTCGAAAACAACAAATCATGTCTCGGAAAATGAGAATCTGTCAGATTAATGTTTCGTATAATAAAAAGTGACCTTAGGATGGGTGCATTTCGAAGAATGACAGGACAAAGGCTAACCGCTTCCCTAAAAAAAATTAGAGTGGATAGATGAAAAGTGATCCTTGGTTGTTACACCAATGGTCTTCATCAAAAGATTTTGTTTAGCAATGAGAAAATTTTTACAATTGAAGAAAAATTTAATCGCCAAAATGATCGTGTGTACCCACACAGCTCTAAAGAAGGCGAGGAAGTCATTGGAAGAGTGGAAAGAGGTCATCAACCTTCCTCAATGATGGTTTGGTGAGGAGTTTGCTTTGATGGCACCACAAAGCTCCATTTTTTTTAAAAAAGGAGTTAAAGTAGCTGGTAAAAACTATTAGGACAATATTTTGGAAACTGTTGTCAAAGCCTCTAAATGATATTCTGTTTGCTGGAAGTCATTGGGTTTTAAGCAGGATTCTGCTCCAGCTCACAAAGCCAGGTCATCTCAGCAGTAGCTGCAAAAGAACATTCCAGAGTTCATCTCTGCCTCGGATTGGCCCTCAGGAAGCCCTGATCTCAACCCACTAGATTATCGGCTTTGGTCCGAACTGAACTGGGACATTTTGAGCAATCCCTTTTTTGTTTTGCTCTCTATAGATGATATACATTTTATTTTCTAACAGAGTTTTTGAAAGAAATAATTTTTCTGTTGAAATCTGTATATATTTCCTTGTAACAATATTTATGACAGGACTAGGTACTTTAAAAACTTGTAGATTTATGGTATAGAGAAATAATTTCAGTAAAAGTAATTTTATAGAATGCACAATTAAGGTTGATGATATGAATGTTAGATCAAAATGAGTGAGGCATATAGCTTGAAGTAGTCTATCATTTCATATCTAATTAACAAAGAATATTGAAAAAAAACTATATATAATTATGATTAGAGACATATACTGCAGAGCTAAATGCATATAGGGACCAAGAGATTGATGGGAGGAGTGATTGAGAGACCTATGAAGCTTTAACAGAAGTCTTGAGAATGCTACGATCAAGAATATCCATGCTTGGTGAAATTGTAACTGAGAAGTTTAAAAAATCATAGAAAAAGCAGTATATATACATAAGGTTCAAAAACTCCTGATTTCTAAATACGCAAAACTATGTAAATAAGATCAGCATTTTGTGAAATATATTAAAAAAATAATAAGTACCGAATTCATTAAGAAACGATGTGTCGATACCAAACTCTGACAGTGTTTTCAACTGTTCAAACTCAACTTTCAGATTTGATATATCAGACTTAGAAGAGGAAGTTGGGATGTGAGAATGAGATTTTATGTCCATTAGTTCCCTCACTCTTTCTTCCTCTTCACGAAATCTTCTATGCTCATCAATGATATTTTTGGCTTTCCTATGCTCTCCGCCTGTTAGGAGATCTAAAAGGTTATCAACCATTGTTAATGTATAATCACAGTCTCGTGCAAAGTTCAGGACACTAAAACATATAATAAGAACAGTAAAGAAAATTTCTAGGAATAAAAAAAATATTCATATAATGTAAAAAATATATTTTTTAAACAATCAATATTCAAAACTGAGATTCTAGTCTTTATGTGTAATATAAAGATCATAATTGCAAATATAATAAAAATATAATTCCATATTGATATCAAATATAATTCCAAATCAAAGTACACACACATATATATTACTTTATGTACTAGCTTGTTAAATATTTCCACAATAACTTACAAGCAATAAAATATCCTTCAATATAATAACTTTTTTTTTTTCAACAAATTCTTTTTCTGGTAGAATTCTTTAAAAAGAAAAATTAAAATTTGGGATATACCTTCTATGAAAGAGTGTGTTAATAGGCATATTGTAGCTGCTGGAAATAATTTGTTATTTGTTGCATATTTTTTCTTTTTTATTAAACATGGTGGTAGTTGAAATAAACAATTTTGAATCACAGAATATTATATAAATTCCGTTATTTGTGTAATGGAAACTTAATTTTTAAAAATATTCTGCAGTTTATTGGTGGGCGAGCTAATAAGTATGTTATATACATTAGATTGTTCAGAAATTAATGGATTTTATTTCTTAATTTTAGGCCCCTTTCACATTGAAGATGCATCCATCCTGCATCTTAAACACTGGACTGTGTAATAGAATGAGAGCTTTCACACCGAAGATGCATTGCGTCTTGCAGCCTGAATGTCTTGTCTCTTGGGAACCAGCCGGCTGGAGATTTTAGTGTGCAGTGCATCTTTGTTGTGTTGGTCTTGCATACCTCGCCCCTTCCACCTTGCCCCGCCCAAAGCAAAATATTTTTGAGGAGGAGCAATCATCAGTTCTGGGCGGCTTGCTTATACCTCCAACACTCGGTCTACTCTCTCCCTTCTTAATTTTCTTTAAGCTCTTGTAATTGACGAATCTATCAATTGATTTTTTATTTTTAACTATTTTTTTTTTGTTATCCATTCTTAAATTTATTTTTAACCATAGGTTTTTTTTTTAACCAATTTCTCTGATTTTCAACTATTGTTCCATATGATCTAAACTTATTTTTCTTGTTATTACCAGGGAAGATTAAAAATTGAATTCCAAAATTGCAATAAATCATTAGAAAAAAAAAGTAATCAAAATATAAATAAAATTAATCATATTGCAAACTTTATCATTTATTTGTTTTAATTACTTCGTATATGATCAACGTTTCCAGGTGCTACCTGATCTGTTTTTAGGGCCTGCTAGTTGATTAATATTTACTAACAACTCCTAGAATATAGTGACTTGCTCGCCTCAGTTTCATTTCATAGTGCAATTAGGCATTGTGTTCCAAGTACAAAACTTCTATCCTTCAACTATGTTACCCGACACAGAGAACTTCAATGTGACCTTTGTTAAAGCAGTTGAAGACTATCATGCAATATACGATACTGCAAGTAAAGGGTACTCAAATAGGGATGAACAAGAGAAATATGGAAGGCCCTGGCACAAAAATTCGAATCAACAGGTTAAAGAACTATGTACTTATAATTTATTCGGGTCAGCGAAAAAATAAAAAAATACTTATTTCAACATCAATTACTATTAAAATTATAATTTCATCATCCGAAGAGTCAGATGATTGATTATTCATCTTTCAAACTCACCTACTAAACTAACAGAGATAATGGATATAAATAGAAGATTCAAGAGGCACATGTATCCTTGGTGTGAAAGCTCTTTTATCAAGATGCAAGACACACATGCATCCTGAATCCAGCACGTATGCATTTTGCGTCTTGCATTTTTGGTGTGAAAGGGGTCTTAAATTAATTAATTTTTGCAGAAGTGGCAATAAGGCCTCCAGGTCTGATTTATAATTTTATTTATTTGCGAACATTTTGTGATTTACTCTTATGCATAGGACTGAAACATGCATGTTTTACATAAGTGTTTAAGTTTCAATTTTTTTTTTGGAATTACAGACCCTGTAGAGCTTTTGTCGCCTTAACAAGCCTTCTCCATCTCTACCTATCTTAGGGCTATTTATTTCCAGTTATCTGCATGCAACTGTATGTTTTAATTAATATTAAAAAAATTAATAGTGTTAAAACAAATTGTGAATAAATATTATAGTTCTATTAATCACATTTCAAATTTTGTTACTTGTTTGAAATTTTAAACCATTAGAATGGGAGTTAAACAATATGCTTTTGCTTTTGTACATGCACATTTTTGAGAAATATACACTCATTAAAAACAATATATAAACTTTAAGATTGTTATATATCAAAGTTATTGTTATGTTATAGTATAGTTCAAATGATTTCGCACTGACCAGAACAGAAAGTAATCTAATAAGATGAAGTTATTAATGGAAACTATAAATTATGATTTAACATTCAGGTTAAGTGCAAAAATATTTAAAGTGTGACCTTTAAATTAAATTAACAACATTAGCATTATACCATTTCATAGAAAAAATGCAGCTATGTTTTCTTTTACATTTGTATTTAGATGGTCAGTTCAAAAACATTATATGATGGAATTAATTTTCTTTTTTTCATGAGGCAAATTGTAGTAATTACATAACACAATCATTTTTTTCTTCTTCTAACCTATCTTTTAGGAAATGAATAGTCAGAAGTATGCTTTAAAATTTAATAATAAAAAAAAAATGCAGTTTTACTTTATAATGTAATTTTCACACTGTATTAAGATTGATATATACTGATGGTAATAATAATGATATAAATCACTGTTAGAATTTATCTCTTTGCCACCCATGAAATAATTCTGTTTTCATCTTTTTTTTTTTTTAAATCCTTACATAATTGTGATTTAACGATGGAATTTAATTATGTGCTGTATCTCTTTCTTATTTTCACCTCCAAGAATATAGCTATCACATAAAACACTTTACAGGGAAAAAACAGATTCATCCAAAGCTGTTTTGGAATTATTTTCCTAACGACAGAAATAATGTTTTTTTTAGAAGGACAAGGTTAAACAACTTAATGGCTTATGACATGATATTACGAAAAGGGTCAAAGCAGACCCATTAATTTCTCTATAATCTGAGTTTAGTTGAATCATAATATTTTTTTTTTTAATAGGTAGATAAAGCTGTTTAAAGATATGAAGATCTGAGACCTAACACAGTAAGTCTAACAACTCTATGATTGCCATGACTCAATCACTTTTATTGATGTTTTTAAATAAATCAACTCATACATGAATCGGATCATAAATCATAAATCATAAAGGATACTGACCTACCTTGATAAGGTATTTAAAAAGGTCGAAAAAGCCATTTAGAACCTGGTGTTGCCAGAAAATACAAAACAAATAAATAAATCTAATATTGATTACGGCTTCATTTAATAATTTAGAAAACTAGAAAATTAAATAGATTTAAAACTAAAATGACGCAACAATATGAGCTGTTGGATGCAAAAACCTACATATAACTTGAATCTTAAAAATTTCTACATGACAAACCATTGATACAGATTTAAGAAATTAAGGATATAGATCCAGAAACAATAAAAAAAAAAAATTAATATTGTTCAAATAAAAATTTATTTAATGATGCCTTGCAAGTTTAATAGGCTCAGTTTTTGATTTACACCATTTTTGTATTCAACAGCTCATATATAAAAGGAAATCAAGCCTTTAATTATCTAAAAAATACCTTTCAGCATAAATGGTAGCATTTTCATCTCCATAAGTTTCATAAATTAAATCTGTTTCTTCTTTTGACAGATTAGCAAACGTAGAATCATATGATGGAGCATAAGAACCAAAAGCACCATAATTAAGAGGCTTTACTGAAAAATAAAAGAGTACAAATTTAATGAAGAATATGAAACAAAATGTTTGCTGATAGAACTTTAAGAATCATTTAAAATTGAGCAGATGGACTAATTTTACTTTTTAAGTTTATACAAAATAATATAAAAGATTCTTAACAAAAACACGAACATGTGGTTATTATTATACTTCTACTTAAATAAAATATAGCAAAATAAAATTTCTTGGTTCAAACAATTTTCCGAACATTTTAGAGGTAGGCTAAAAGCTAAAAAAAGTATTTTATTGAGAACGTTATTTTCTCCACTCCACTTCTGTAGAATGGTATTGGTAGAATGGCATTGTCACCGTTCAAATAACGTTGTTGTTTTATAATTATCTATGGGTGACTCAATAAATATTTAGTGCGGAGAAAATACATTTCCCCACTTTCTGTTAGGAAGAACATTTAGAAAGTTCTGAAAATGGTAGCTCTGGAAAACAATAAAACTCTTGTAAAGTATAAAGTTTGCTGTAATATCCTAATCAAATGTATCAGAGTTCTCATATATATTGATTAGTTGGTGTTCATCTATTAAAAAAAGCCATTTTTAGTTATTATTTTACTGATTTCTATCATATAATTATAATGACACTGGAGAGGGAAGAATCTAATAGTAGCCTGGCTCAATAATTAAAAGTAAATTTTAAACTTTGAAAAACTGCAAATCTACTCTCGAGTACATGCTGAATCATTTAAATCCAAAAAATGAATATTTATCTATTCACAACAAAATTGGTTCTTCTCAATATTTCGCTATTAGACTAGGAGCAACTGACAATTTCATTTATCGGAAGGAATTATATAGCTGGTAACCATTTTAAATTCTAGATAAACGTTATCTGTTGTCATTTGAATTGAAATCGTCAGTTGAAAGAAGTTGATTTCTACACCAAAATTTAAATTTAAGAGAAGAATTTTAAGGTTCATTTAACTGACATCAAAGTCATCAAATTAGGGCAGTCCGATGGTAGTTGGATGAAGAAAAAATAAGATAGTCAGTTTCTCTTTGGTTTTTAATGTTTTTTAGGATGTTGAATCTGAATTTGGTGCTCCTGAACAAAATTTTCGATTGCGTTAGGAGATATATGCAAAAAAACAGCGAAATTTCTGAATTTATTTTGGCCTTGACTCTGAAACTAAGCATTTATCGAAATTATTATTACATACAACGTTAAAGTAGATACAATTTACTATCTATTTTAAAAATAGCTTTTTGATGTAGGGCCAACGGGTGAGGAGTTAGAAAATGTTGACTGTTTGCTTATTTCACAAGAAAAATCTCTTTTCCTCAGATTTTCCCCCAAAGCTCATAATCTATGTATGACTCAAAGAAATTCATTATAATCAATTTGAAAGAGCATTAAATTTGCTATGTACATCATGTAGACACAGTGCTGGCCTTAGGGCGGAGCAACTGAGGCGCCGACCAATCTTAAGGGGCGCTCGCCACTTGTTACAAATTAAAAAAAAATACAAATGTATTAAAATAATTAACTTTAGGCTATCAATAAAGTAGCTGTATTCATGAAATATTACATAATATCTTCCAACAGCTTAAGAAATAAATTAAATTTTTTAGAGGAAGGGGAGATGACATTGTCCGGGGGTGCCAAAGGTCTAAGGCCTGGCACTGTGTAGATAAGTTAATATGTAAGAGGGTTAGTTAAGCAGATGTTAAAGCGCAATGGAATCGAAGGCGTATTTCACTCGTAGTATCTATTGCTATCAACTTAAGTACTTTTTATCTTTTCAATGCTTTTGATTCGGGTAATTTAACTATATTTATAACAGAACTAGAATGTTTAAACAAATTACATAGCTTTTATATATTCTGTTGGCATGAGAGACTTCAACATCCATAACAATAATAAAAAAAATAAGGACCAAAACGCGCTTCAAAGTCCGAGCAATCAAATGATATTTCGTCTACTTGCACATTAAAACTCTACATAAACTTGAATTAAATTGAAAGTGTATCAAAATTTTTATTGAACTCGGGAATAATCGTTAATATATGAAAAGTTAAAAAGCTATTAGAGCACTCGGATTTTGAAGCTAATTTGGATTGTTGAGTTTTTGATTATTATGAATTTTGATATCTCTCATGCCAACAGAATATATAAAAGCAATGTAATTTGTTTATACATTCTAGTTCTGTTATAAATATAGTTAAATTAGCCAAATCAAGAGCATTCAAAAGATAAAAAGTACTTAAGTTGAGATCGGCAGATTTAGTATTAAGTATTTCACTATGAGTGAAATACGCATTCAATTCCATGCACTTTAATAGCCACTAAACTCTCTTACATATTAAAGTGTCTACATGAGGTATATAGGAAATTTAAAGCTCTATCAAACAGATTATAACGTATTTCTTCGAGAAAAGCATAGATTATGAATTTTTGGAAAACCAATTTTTTTTTTTATGAAATAAGCAACTAATCAACATTCTTTAACTCCTCACCCATTGGTCCTACATCAAAAACCTACTGATAAAATTTATAGTAAATTGTATCTACTTTAACTTTATATACAATAATAATTTTGATAAAATCCATAATTTCGGAGTCATATCCAAAAAAATAAAAAAAGTAGAAATTTCACCGTTTCTTGCATATATCTTGGAACAAAATAGAACATTTCGTTTGGGAATATCAAATTCAGATTCAGCACCCCAAAAAACATAAAAACCAAAGAGAAACTGACTATTTGATTTTTTTTCTCATGGTTTTATGATAACAAATATTCTCAAACAAGCAGTGATAGATTATGAGGCTGTTAATGACAGAATATGTAGGATAAGATTGGAAGGTAGAATTTTTGACTCATCTATGGTGAGCGTACATGTGCTGACAGAAGATAAATCAGAGGAAGAGAAGGATGAATTTCATGGTACTCTAGAGAGAGTTGAGGATGAAATCCCAAGATATGACGTGAAGCTGGTTTTAGGAGACTGGAATGTAAAAATAGGAAAGGAGGACGCATTTCATCTGGTTATAGGAAAACATAGTAAGCATGATATCTCCAGTGATAACGGGATACGTCTGGTAGACATTGCAGCATTGAGGGGAATGAGGGTGAGTGACACTTTTTTCGCTCACAAGAATATCCACAAGGAGACATGGTTATCTCCAGATGGAAAGATCCGGAATAAAATGTGTTGGTAGATAGTAGACAAGCAACAGACATACAAGACATATGCAGTTTCAGAGGTGCTTGTTGTGAGTCAGACCATTTTCTGGTTAAGGCTAAATATAAAATGAAAGTAGCCTCATACCAAAGAGCCCGAGGAGAGAGAAAAGCTACAAGTTGAAGAGACACGAGATTTATTCAAAAGGAAAATTGTGGACAGATTTGAAAACTTAATAAGAGCAGAGTCAATTGAAGGGAACTGGTGTACTTTTATAGATACATTGAAGAGTGTAGCAACAGAGGTTCTTGGGTGCGAGACGGCAGAAAAGAAGAAACAACTGGTATGACAGGGAATGTGAAATAGCAGTCAAAGAAAAAAATGATGCCAGAATGAAATTGATACAGAGAGTAACAAGACTCTCAGCAGAGAGCTATAAAAAGAAAAGAGCAGAGGTAAGGAGAATGTTTAGGAGAAAAAAGAGGGCTAAGGAGAGAGAGAGAAACTAGAACAAATACAAGAAGAATTTGATAAAATGAACAGTAGGAAGTTTTACTGGAGGGTCAAACATACAAAGACAGGGTATGCACCAAAGCATGCATTTTATATGGATGAAGAAAGTAAGTTATTGGGAAATAGTAAAGAAGTATTAGAAGAAGAAGAATAAGTAAGTAAAAAAGGGTAAGATATTTCCAGAACTTATGGAATTTAAATAGGATAGAAATTAATAGTACCACAGGAGGGCAGCAGGATGAATACAATGAGGTGCAAGAGGATAATGATGAAGAGGATGTACCACCAGATCAGGAGGAAATACTGGAAATCATTTTTTCACTAAAGAATCATAAGGCCCCAGGAACTGACGAGATAGTGGCTGAATTCCTGAAATATGGAGGACAAACAGTGACAAGCCAAATCTATCAATTGATATGGGATATGTGGACTCAGGAAAGTATGTCAAGAGACTGGAGCAAAGTCATACCTTTCCAAGTTTATAAGAAGGACGACAGGATGGTACGGAAGAACTATCGTGGGATAGCGCTTCTGTTGTCTGTGTACAAGATTTTCTCCATTGCAATTAACTGGTAAGATGGTCTGAGAGGGTTATTGGCGATTACCAGTGTGATTTTAGACAGGAAGATCCACAACTGACTTAATATTCGCATTAAGACAGCTACTGGAAAAGAGTCATGAGCATTATGCTAGCCTCCACACCCGTTTTATAGATATCAAACAGACATACGACTCGGTAGACAGGGAAAGGGTAGCAAGGGATAATATCAGGTCCCTAGGAGTTCCCCCAAAGCTGGTGAGGTTTATTCAAACAACGTGGAAGGAAACAACGTCTCAGGTAAGAGTTGATGGAGCCCATCTGAAGAGTTCGATGTGGTAGGGGAGCTGAGACAAGGTGACCAACTTTCGCCCATAGTATTTAACCTGGCTTTTAAAAAGGCAATAAGAGCAATCAGAACCAACCCGAGAGGAAATATCTATAGCAGGCTTACTCAGCACATGGCCTATGCAGATGATGTAGCCATCACAGCGCGCACACTACCAGCCCTTTCAGGAGCGTTACAAGAGTTTGAAGCGGCGCTTGCAGAGACTTGAAAATAAATGAAGCTAAGACAGAGTACATGAAGATGTCTAGAACTCAATTAGGTCAGGAAGAAGAAGTGCAAATTAATGGGCACAAATTCAAGTGCTGCGTTTAAATTTGTTGCGCTAAAAACTGCCTTAAAGACAAAAATAACCATATACAAGACAATAATAAGACCGTTTGTGACATACAGAAGCGAGTGCTGGGTGATGACCAAGGAGAATGAGACGATCCTGAAGGTTTGGGAGAGAAAGATACTCCAAAAGATGTTTGGCCCAGTAACCAAGGATGGCCATAGGAAAATAAGGAAAAACAGAGAGCTCGAACAGCTTTTTGGTGACCTTAATATTGTGGCATTCATCAAAGAAGGAAGGAAGCCCATGTTCAAAGGATGCCGGATGAGAGGCTACCAAAAAATATAATGAATGGCAGGCCAGGCGGAAAGAGAGTAGCAGGAAGACCAAGGCTAAGATGGTTGGATGATGTAGAGGATGGCGAAGGAAGGCAGAATATAGGGAGGAATGGCAATCAATTTCAAGTTCGATCAAAGTCCAACTAGGACTGTAAGTAAGTAAACCTCTTCTAGTGCCAAATTAAACAGAAACAAGGAGAGTCAATCTCCCTGTCACAAATCGACTTAATCATAGCATTGTCCACACGTAATTTGAGATTTGAAGAGATTTTTCAGGACTTCAATACCTTTGAAAGAGGAGAAGAAAGCTGTACTAGAGCTTGTTATATACTGAAAATTTTTGTAACGAATCTCTTTAAAATTAAATTATCAACTATTAATTATATTTTTGATAGATTGGCCTTAAAAAAAATAAATAAAAATTACTACGCAAACAGAAAAATTATTTTAAAACAAGTGAATATTAATTATCACCTGTTTTTGCTATATTTCGTCTATCTTCACGGAATCCTTGAAGTTGTCCAGTCCCATGGTTCAATTTACCAATGAGTTGTCCCAGAGAAACAGGCCGTTCTTGAGGTTGCTCTGAGTCCAAACCATTACCAGGAATAAAAATGGCAAGAGATGTACTCCCATCTTGCTTTTGTCTCAAAAATCCCATCTAGTAATAAAAAAAAAAAAAATCAAGATACTTTATTCAATTCCAAGCATTATCTAAATGCCTAAAAACAAATAACCATATCAACAGTAGTACGAGAAAAACTTATATATTATAAATCTGTTTCACCAGATTTCACAGTAACCACAAAACATTATGCTAGTTGTAATGAAGTTTATATTCATAGGAGTTATTTTGGTAGTCATTAAATAAAAAAAGAGAGAACCAACTGATGTAATATTTTAAAGATCTAAAGGAGTCCATAGACCCGATTGTTATTATTAACTGATTAACAAATTTTTTGGACTTTTTTCTTGGATGTTTTCTCATTCTGCAGTTGACACAACATTTTCGTAACAGTATGAATTACAATAGATACTTATTAACTATGAAAATTTTGGAAGTATGGTCATAACAATAGGCTTATCAATGTCTTACAGTAGTTTTTGGCCTCTTCAGAGATAGTTTTTCAGCTGAAGCTTTAGCAGATTTCTGAGCAATTTCTAAAATTTCCTCAGCAGAAAGATCATCAGGAATAGCTTCAAATTTATTTCTGAAAAAAAAAAAAATGAATATACATATAAGTTTAATATACACATAAGTTTAAAGGAACGTGGAACAATACTGTCTTGTTAGTACGATTTTGTAAATACAAGATATAAACTGGGTGTAGTATGTCCCTATATATTTCATTATTTTTGATAAAGTTAGTAAATCAAATATTTGTTAAATTTTAATCATTGTTAAATTTAAACCACTGGCACGTTCTGTGGATAAGGTAATTATTCTGTAAATTATTTAGCACAGTAAAACTTTGATAACCTGTCAGCATAGTAGAATACAAAAAAGGGATTGTTTTTTAACTCATAGCATATTTTAAAGGAAAATGTTCAAATAAAAGTAAAAAACATAATTATGTAATATATAGTATCATAAAGAGCCATTTAATAGAATACAAACCATATTTTTTAAAGATATAAGTAATTTGAGAAAATCAAATTAAAAAAAAAATATAACCATAAATATTTGTAAGTAAATTAAGGCTCCAAATCTCAGAATTGCTGTTGAACAAAAAGTGAAGAAAGAACAGTGAGCAAAGGAGTTTTAAGCTGAATATAAACTGATAAATTCAAAGGAAATGTAAACATACTCGAACAACACCATTCTGAGAAACAAGAATAATTAAAAAAAAAAATTATTTTAAAGCTTAGTAATTACTTTATTAGCAAAAATTATAATATACAATTACTTAAGTTAATTTTTTAAGTCAATATTTTGTCGTTTATATACTGCAAAATATTTAATTTATCTTTGTACTAGAATTAGAGCTGGTTGCTAATGATAGGTCAAGGTATTTTGTTAATATTTCTTCTTATTTTTCTTTTTTTATTAGGAAGCTTACGTTTATAATTTTTTCATATTTTAGGCAATAAAACTTCCAATTTTTTTCATATTTTTTTATTTATGCTTGTTGTCTCTTTCGTTTTGGGACAATTTTCCCATCATCAGAGTAATATTTTTATTTTTACATTCTTTTTTTTTGATGTGGCACCATTTGTCAAAAATTATATATTTGTCACATTTTTTAAAAATTATTTGGTGTTACACATATTCACTGATACACTAATCAACAAATGGTGCCACATAAAAAAAAAAGAATGTAAAAATAAAAATATTACTCTGATGATGGGAAAATTGTCCCGAAACGTAAGAGACAACAAGCATAAATAAAAAAATATGAAGAAAATTGGAAGTTTTACTGCCTAAAATATGAAAAAGTTAATATTTCTGTTATCTATTTAATTTATTAACCTTGTCCTTGGTCCCAGCAGTGACGGTTAATCAAAGTTTTACTGTTTACTTGATATAAATGTACAAAGTAATGAACTCAGTCATATGTAATGAATAGAGTATGATGTTTTGTAAATTAATGTTGTAAAGTATCTCAATACTTGAGAAGAAATAAGTTAAATAAATATTCCCTCCAGAAATGGGCGTAGAGAAAGAAAATTTGATATATCAAATGCAGAATACTTTACACTTACTGAAATGTATATGTATAAGTCTACAGAAAAGATTTGACTTGTTATTTTGAGATTAAACTACTTAATTTATAAATTACACTATCTACGTAATTTAACAATAAGTTATAACAAATTTAAAAGTTTTTGAAATAATGGAGGGATGGTTATTATATCATTTCCACATTTTTAAATATTAAATAACCTATGTTAACGATTTATTAACTTTTTTTAATTATTATGTTTATGTACTTTTTATAATTTTATTTTTATTTTATAATTTAATATTTTTATAAGGGTCACTTCCCTGCACAACCCTTGCCTTTGAAATAGTACTTCCTAACAAAGTACTGAACCCAAGACCCTTCATGGGTTGTAGTGGTAGAGATCATATTTTTTTGTTTATTTTTATGTTGGTTATTTAATAAAATGAGGTGATACCATAATATCACATTTCTTTCTTTACAATAGAAAAACTTTACTCTTACTAAACTATTAGCATTATATATATATATATATATATATATATAATATATATATATATATATATATATTAATATATATATATATATATATATATATATATACGAATTACTACAAAAAAATATGATGTCCTGATATAAATAAATTTATATACTAAATTAATATTAATTAATAACATACTCCATAACGAAGTTACAATGTCGCCTTTTGGGTGAAGGTGAGTCAGAGTTCTCTTTTTTGTCATTGTCCTCCAGAATGTCATTACTATTAGTTTCTTGATCATCGATTACATTTCCTGATCCTGTTACAAAACCAAGTTGTTCAGAGGGTACTTGATTTATTATTGGAAATGTTATGGCTAACTGACGTAACTTCTCACAGCTTAAAAATTTCAGGCCAGCATGTAATAACCTTTTTGCAGCTTTATAGTACATTGTATCAGGTCTGTTATAAATCATAGCATTGTTGCACATTAAGCGTAGATCACTCTAAAAAAAGTTAATATTTTAAAATAAACACAACTTAAAAATTAAAGGTGATATATTTGTATGGTTTACTGTAATAGATTGCAATGTGATTGTGATAATTCAATAAAAATTAATCCAACTATATCGCCAGCCTGCTATGGGAAAAGATTGCAGATTAGGTAACACATCTCTTTCTGGGTCTAAGCCTTAACACCTTCAGTGCGGACAGGATACCTGCCTTCCAGGCCAGCGGTCGGTTCCCTGGGGGGGATCAGGATACCTAGTCCTTTGGAGCTCACTCAGTTCGGTCATTTCGGTTTCTGACTACTTGGGAAGGCCTATGTCCTGTTTATTTTTTATAAATTTGTTAGCTTAGAGCACCGCGACCCTTGAAGGATCTATTGTGCGCCAATTAAGCTGTCCTGTTTATTAAAAATTAAATAAAAATGTTTTAAATGCATTTTTGAAAGCTAATATCTTTCAGGAAGACTCAAAATAGTATTTTAAACAAATTTTTTTATTTTTTTTTTATTTCTTTATGACATTTACAACTGTATTACATAAATACATCAAGTAAATCTGGACATAATTGACATAATGACATGAATGCACTAGCTGAGTAACTACCCAATGGTAGCACTCTAATGATATGACTACATTAGGAGATCACGGGGCCATCTTCTTTTCAGACGCCTCGGAGGGTTATCAGGAATTGAAGAGGAAGCAAGGTTAGAATCGAGAGGGTTGGGATGATTCTGAAGTTTATTATGGAAGGATAGGTATCTGGATTGGGCCAGATCTGAAACATAAGGAACATTAAGATCTTTATGGATAATTTTATTAGTGACAAAGTAAGGAGCATTGAGGATTTTACGAAGGATTTTGGATTGTAAGGATTGGATGCGAGAGGAATTCGATGGTTTAGTGGAGCCCCATAGCTCAACTCCGTAAGTCCAAATAGGTCTTATTATAGTCAAGTATATGAGTCTTTTGCAATTAATGGGAAGTTTAGAGCGTTTGTCTAGTAAGTGCTGAAGTAATCGGAAACGTCAAGCGGTTTCTTGTCGTTTCAGTCTAGTATGAGGATTCCAAGTTAGTCGCTTGTCCAGGTGGAGTCCTAAGTATCGGATTTGCTCAACAGGGATAAGTGGAGTATTGTTAAAGGAAACTGTAGGACAGGAAGTTGTTGGTTTACGACGAAGGGTAAAGGTAATTTGGTGGGATTTATTGGAGTTTATTTTAATTCTCCAGTTTTGACACCATTCTTCTAGATTTATGATGTGTGATTGAAGCATTTGGGATGCAATTGCTGGGTCATTGTTTACTGATAGGATACATGTGTCATCGGCATATGTGGTGATGACAGTGTTGGGACAGGTAGGGATGTCAGCTGTATAAACTGTATAGAGGATAGGACCTAGGATACTACCTTGAGGAACACCAGCGGACTGGGAAAAAAAGGGATGAATAGGCGTTATTGTGATTTACTTTAAAGTATCTATCAGTAAGGTAGGAACGGATAATGAGGAAGTATGTAGGTGGTAGGAATTTTCGGAGTTTGTACAGCAGTCCCAGGTGCCAAACTCTATCAAACGCCTGTTCAACGTCGAGAAAGACTCCCGTACAGTACATTCCGCGCTCCAATGCAGAGGAGACTACGTCTACCACACGATGACTTAAACAAATTTAAAGGGGAAAAAAGATCCCTTTTTTTTTTTAAAATCCACAATCAGGAAGAATGACTCGTTACGAGGTATCGCAGTCAAAGGGTTAAACAACATGAAATCATTAAAAAAATAAAAACAGCATGGTTTTTATTTTTAGGAAGTGTCAAGAAAAAAAATATATTTTAAGTAGTTTATCAGGTTTATGGAAAACAGAGCAAAATATAAGAGTCAAAGTATTTCAACATTAAAAAAGGATTGAGATTACCCAAGAGTTACAGTTAGTATACCAAAATCTGTGGTGGCCACCTATTTAAAAAAATGGAATACCCGAAAAAAAAATGTGTATTTATAGGATGTGTGAATAAGTTTCAGCTGTTTTTTTTTATAAAAATGAATTCAAGGTATTGTCCATCGCTAGCCTACCATTTTCTCCCTATCTTTCAGGTAACAAATGGATTCCACGTTGAAAAATGGAAATATTTTTTGAGGTAATCCAGTAATCAATCCATTCTAAGTTTCGTCATAAGATTTGAAGAGCCAGACGAGGAGTCAGTGATCGGAACACGTGGTAGTCGGAAGGAGCAATGCCTGGTGAATATGGTGGGTGGGGCAAGACGTCCCATTTCATAAATTCCAAATAAGTTTTAACTGTGTTTGCAACATGAGGTTGAGTAAAATTACCTCATTTTGTCTCTGCTTATTGTCTATAGCAATCTCCTCTGATGGTTTCATTGGGCTAAAGCAGCTCTTAACAAACAAAAACCAAGCTGATCCCATCATTGCTAAGCATAAGCTCGTAACCATGAATGTTCAGATTTTCTGTCGATGTAGAGGCATGTCTGCACAATTTTTTTCACTTTGGGTTGTTATAGTGTGTCAACTTTTTATCATCAGTTACGATACAATAGAGACAACTTTTTTTTTTTTCATTTATGCAGTTGTTTGTAGGTAAATAAACATCGTTCGACATCTCTTTTCATCAATTGATACAGTAACCAATTTCCTTGCTTTTGAACCATTCCTAAAGCTTTCAAATGTTTAGCAGCTGTTGTTTGATCCACTCCTAATGATTCTCCAAGTAGTGTCTGGCATGGATCTTCATGAAGTAACGCCTTCAAATCTTCATCTTCAAGCTTTTTTGGGGGGCCTGAACAGTCATCATCTCTGAGAACAAAATCATTGTTTTCAAAGTGTTGAAACCATTCTTTGCATATTCTTTCGGATAGAGCATATTTACTGCGAGTTTTCAAAAGAAATCCAATCCCTTCAGCTGTAGTTTTTTTTTTTTTTTTTGGGGGGGGGGAGGAAATAGTGTAATAAAATTTCCTGCAAAAATAGAATTAACCGTACGAAATTTGACATGTTTTAAGAAATATGAAAACTGTTGTATACACTTTGAGGATTTAAAATAGACTGATAACCTGAGTAAAGAGAATTAGCTTTTGAATATACTTGGTTTCAGTGTTCTCTAAATATACTTCTATAAAATATATTCTAATATTAATATATCAGAACAAAATTCGACATGTCTCAAGAAATATGAAAAATGTTGTATACACTTTTAGGATTTAAAATAGACTGATAATCTGAGTACAGAGAATTAGCTTTTGAATAAGGTTGGTTTCAGTGTTTCTAAATATACTTCTAAATAATATATCCTAAATATAAACAAAAATTCTCTAGATAACAACTGGTGGAAACTTATTCACACACCCAATATATCAAATAATTTGCAAGAATTATTTCTATCAACCTAAGTTCAAGCATTCAGCGATAAATTATTCACATACATAAACTATTTAAATATGCCAAAACTATTTTAGATTTTATTAATAAAATTAGAATAATAGATAAATCATTTCTCATACAATAAGATTTCTTCAAGCAGAGTATACTTACAATATATGCATTCAAGTTACTGTAAGCATTATCATCAATTTTTTGACGCATAGTAGAGAAATCCATTGGTTGGGTAATAGTTTGCGAATAACCTGGAGCAATTTGATCAGTAACAGGCCAGGCAAAAACTTGTTTAACATCTTTTTTTTCTAGCTGTTGTTGTAAATAATCAAGAACCCTTTGTAAAGGTGTTCTATTTTGTTTTTGACGAAGTAACTGGACACAAAGACGAGCCTCCCTGTTAACTGAATATTAAAATAAAATAAAAACCATTTAATAAATAAGTAAAATAATAATGAAAATCTATTAACATTCATTATAAAAAATGAAATTATACATATTTAGTCACAGAGGAGACATTACATACTTAAAATTTGTGCCATCTGTGTTGAGACATAAAAAGCAATGCTCACATATTTTATAAAGTAGTTTATTAGCTTCAAAGACATTTTCGAATTGTAAACACTTAAACATATAGATATTTGCATATTTTCATTTATTTAATTAAAAATTGGCTAAAGCTAGATGGAGGATCTCTATGTATCAGAGAAAAGTATGAAGATCGGCCAGGGAATTTGGATTCCAGAAGAGATGGCATTTTTCAGGATTTGTTTATCATATCTATAGAGAGGGGACAAGATTATAGTCTGCAGGTTATATCAGTTGAATAAAAGATAATACAAGAATTGCTTTGGAAAAAACTGTTCCCGAGAGATGAAGTTTGTCTTTGAGACCCATCACTGACTATGAACCATGAAGTAAATAAATTTAATTACGATTCTCAAGGCTGAAGAGTTCCTTCTTAAGTGGGATCTCATATGGATAACCAAGATTTCAATGCTTGAAACATCCAGGAATAACAATACATCATCTTTCTCACACATATTCAATCTGCTAGTCATCATTTAAAAATGAATGTGGGTTTACAATATACTCATCAAAGATACATCTGGTAGAAGCAAATAGAATTAAACTTTTTTAAATCAGGGTCGTCTTATAGGTTTTGGGGGGCTCTTTTTATGAAAATGATATCCAATTTGAGATTGGGCCCCCCCGAGCCTCGACTTTTATTAACTTTTCTGATTAAACCGATATCAGGATCGACTTATAGGTTTTGAGGGGCGCTTTTTATGAAAATGATATCCAATTTGAGATTGGGCCCCTCGGGCCTCGACTTTTTTTAACTTTTCTGATTAAACCAATATCAGAGTCGACTTATAGGTTTTGAGGGGCGCTTTTTATGAAAATGATATCCAATTTGAGATTGGGCCCCTCGGGCCTTGACTTTTTTTAACTTTTCTGATTAAACCGATATCAGGGTCGACTCTTATGTTTTCGGGGGCGCTTTTTATGAAAATGATATCCAATTTGGGATTGGCCCCCCCGGGCCTTGACTTGTTTTAACTTTTGAAAATAAATCAATATCAGGGTCGAATCTTATGTTTTGGGGGGCGCTATTTATGAAAATTATTTCGGATTTGAGATTAAGCCTTTTGGGGTCCCAAAACATAAGCGTCGACCCTGATATCGATTTATTCCAAAAAATTAAAAAAAGGTTGAGGCCCGGGGGTCCCAATCTTAAATCAGATGCTATTTTCATAAAAAGCGCCCCCCAAAATATAAGATTCCACCCTGATATCGATTTAATCCGAAAAGTTAAAAAAAGATGAGGGCCGGGGGGGCCCAATCTCAAATTGGATATCATTTTCATAAAAAGCGCCTCCCAGAACCTATAAGTCGACCCTGATATCGATTTAATCCCAAAAGGTAAAAAAAGTCGAGGCCCGGGGGGTCCCAATTCCAAATTCGATATCATTTTCATAAAAAGCGCCCCCGAAAACATAAGAGTCGACCCTGATATCGATTTAATCCCAAAAGTTAAAAAAAGATGAGGGCCGGGGGGCCCAATCTCAAATTGGATATCATTTTCATAAAAAGCGCCCCCGAAAACATAAGAGTCGACCCTGATATCGGTTTAATCAGAAAAGTTAAAAAAAGTCAAGGCCCGAGGGGCCCAATCTCAAATTGGATATCATTTTCATAAAAAGCGCCCCTCAAAACCTATAATTCGACTCTGATATCGGTTTAATCAGAAAAGTTAAAAAAAGTCGAGGCCCGAGGGGCCCAATCTCAAATTGGATATCATTTTCATAAAAAGCGCCCCTCAAAACCTATAAGTCGATCCTGATATCGGTTTAATCAGAAAAGTTAAAAAAAGTCGAGGCCCGAGGGGCCCAATCTCAAATTGAATATCATTTTCATAAAAAGCGCCCCCCAAAACCTATAAGACGACCCTGATATCGATCTAATCCGAAAAGTTAATAAAAGTCGAGGCTCGGGGGGCCCAATCTCAAATTGGATATCATTTTCATAAAAAACGCTCCCCAAAACATATATGTCGAACCCGATATCGAATAAATCGGAAAGGTGAAAAAAAAATTAGGTTAAATAAAATAAAAACATTTTTTTTTCAAAATTACTCATGGCGTTAAAATTTTTCATGAGTGATTTACTCATGGAGATAACATTTTTCACGAGTGATTTACTCATGAAGGAAAAATGTTTCATGAGTAATTTTCAAAATTACTCATGGCTAAGCTTCCAAGAGTGATCACTCGTGACGTCACTGCTCGACATTTACTCGAGTAAATGCCCAACTCTGGAATGAATATGTGTCAAGAAAATACATTTAAATGGAAGATCACATCTACAGATCTGCTCAAGGCTTCCTTGGATTCGGATGACTCAGATAAAATCATGCATGATTTTCTTCTTTTCCTGAGAGAAGCTAATAACACACTTCCTGGCCCAAAACATCCAGCTATATGTTTTTATCAGATGCGTAGGAAAAAAACCCTTGATATAAGAGCAAGGAGGAATGAAACGTCAGCAATCTCTAGAAATCTAGCAAGGCTGCCAGAGAGATAAGGCAGGAGTAAAACAAGTAAGACCTAGCCCAGTAAAAGTACAATTGCAGAAAAAAGGGGTTCAAAGTATAATGAATGCGAACAGCCCAAAGTAATGTTCCAGTATAGCTTTGTTGACCATCAACTTTAAACAGAAACTATGTCATGTCACCTGCTATTATTTTGTAATAGAATATGGAATAATCCAAGTACAATGACAAGTTGACTCATCAGTGGTCAGCAATGTGTTAAAATTGAGAAGATTGAAAAGCCCATTTTAGATCGCTTTTGGAACCCCAAAATATTAACGAGGACTATGCACCCTTTTCCAATATTTTGAATTTGGAAACAGTTAAGTTAAAAGCTGTTAGACAATGAAGAATGTATCTTTGGACACTTTGCCTTCTTATAATTATAACGATAATAGAAATCATACTGAAATTTGGAAATTTATTTATTTATTTATTTTTATTTAAATTTATTTTTGGGTGCTTGATTAGGATATAGAATTTCAATAATGGGATTATATGATTCAGTTTTTGGATTTTCTTTTAATTTTATTCTTGAATTTTTTAGTTGTATATGATTTATACCCTCTTTTAGAACTTATATACTTTATAATAACTCTATATTATATTCTAAGTCTCCATTGCAGACAAACAGTTCCACAATGAATGGGCGATCTTCCAAAATGAGGAATTTTAAAATTTAAGGGGAGGAAAAAATCAAAAACCATACTAACCAGCTGAGTCAGGAGATGGTGCATCTTCTATGTTCTTCACAACCGTATCTTTCAACTGAGCTGGAGTTTCTGTTGAAGATTCCTCAATTAGACTAATGTTGTCTTGACTGGATTCATCATAATTATGTTTTCGTTTTTCCTAAAATAAAAAATAATACGTTTATGGTAATTTTCGAATTCTAATGTTAACAAAACTAATTTAAAAATAAAATATATACCAAATACATACGTTCATGTACTAATTTTGGAAAAATGTAAATAAAAAAATATTAAAAATACACAAACAAACACAACCACAAATTGACAAAAAGATTAAGAATGGGGCATGCAATGGTTTCCTAATGGCTCAGAACAAAAATAGAACCCCAGAAAAAAAGTTGAAGGAAAGCAAAATAAAACTTGAAATGACACACCAATAGGATATTGAATTTAAGTAAAAAAAATAGGTTAACAAAGTAACTAAAAAGAAACAATTAAAATATATAAATCATTAGAGAATGTTAAAACCAGTGTTTTGATAAAGGGCAGAAAAAAGTCAGGTAGGGATTACAGATAGTGATCCTTAAGTCCCAGAGTTATCGTTTATAGAAAGTAATTTAACCCGAGAGCCGGCACACAGTGGTTGAAAATTAAGTAAGTAAGCATTTTGTTCTTCCAGGCAAAATTTTTATATTTCCTTCATATGAACTTTGGCATAAGAGTTTTTAAAGAGGATTTAAGTACCTAATGGGACAAAAAAAGGAACATTTTTTTAAAGGTATTTTCTAAATTAATGAAAATTTCAAACTCTTTTTTTATGCCATCTCATAGAAAATAACTATAAAAAAAGTTTACAATTTTAAAATTTAAACTTATGTCATTTTGTTGTGCATGAAACAATAAACAAAACCCATCTAATTTGGTTAGGTTCAAGTAGCATTCCGCTGAGATATTGACATTCAAATTTTTGCATTTGTTAATCAACTTAACTTTTAAATCTTCCACCTAAAAGCACCTATGATGTTTATATTTGATTGATTTATTTACTTTGTATACATTTGTACAAGGGACACCCTGTATATGCATGATAGGCGGAGTCTTGAAAACAAAATAACTGAGCAAACCGAGTTTACTTTAAAGTTAAAAAGATGGCAATAGAAGATGTAATTGCATTGAGATTAGACATAGATAAGAATTAAGTCCAGTTGTGTTTTGGCTGTTGTGTAGTACACATCTAATTCTAAGGAGCTCTGAGATAACAGTGCCAGGATTAACTTTTCATTAACCTTTATTCTTGTTTTATCTTTTTTTTATATTGTTTTTTTATTTTCTTTATTCACTAGTGTATGTTATTATATTATAACACAAGATGATGAATGTAGATTTAGAAGTAAAGGTAAAACTTCCCGACAAAAAGACGACTAATGAAATCAATATTGTGAGACTAATAAACATGCAAAATTATACACTCTCATATATTTACCATTCTTTAAGAGTCCGTATGTAACCATAGTTGAAAAAGAAGAAATCAGTAAGTCAGAATTCTTTAACTGTAAACACAGTTAAAAGGAAAAATATATATCAAATTGAAATAAATTATAATGATGCAGAGATGGTTGACCGTGATATAATATGAGAAGGAGATAGTAATAATTCATAACACTATTTTTTTTAAATTTAGTATTTATTTGACCACCCCCTCCCCCCCCCTGACCAACTCATCTCGAAATAAATCATGTTTATTTATGTACACAACTTTTAGAGTTTCAGTTAAATTTCAGTAGTATTCCCAGAAGGCATTATCTATTATTTAATTTTCTTCATAAGTCTAAAATAAATTTCAATTAGTATTGTCCTCAGAGATATTTAAAAGATCTATTCTTTTTTCTAAGGAAAAGTAAATATGGGTCAGAAGATACGAGTAAGTAATGTATTACATCGTTGTTAGTTGCTGTTCATTTCTTGAATGGTTTTCCTTAATTTTTCTGATTTTGTGCTAGATAAACCGAAAGAAGGTGAGTCAGTTTATGAATTCAATTCAAAATTCATAAACTGCCTCACCTTCTTCCGATTTATCTAGCACAAAATCAGAAAAATTAAGGAAAACCATTCAAGAAATGAACAGCAACTAACAACGATTTAATACATTACTTACTTGCATCTTCTGACCCATATTTACCTTTCCTTAAAAAAAAACATACAAATATAACAAACAAAATAAACAAAACTTTAAATCCTGAAGCATTAGATCTTTTAAATATCTCTGAGGACAATACTAATTGAAATTTATTTTAGATATACTTAGATTAATGAAGAAAAAGAAAATAAATGTGCCAAAACTCTGAAAGTTGTGTACATAAATCAATATAATAAGGAATATATACAAATTAAATAAATCAATAAAATATAACACATATTGGTGCTTTTAGGTGGAAGATTTAAAAGTTAAGTTGAATTACAAATGCAAAATTTGAATGTCCATATCTCAGCTGAATGCAACCTAACCAAATTATATGGGTTTTAGTTATTGTTTCATATGCAATAAAATGACATAAGTAACATTCTATAATCCGCCCCCTCCTTTAAAGATATTGCAATTTTAAAATTGTAAATTTGGACTTTTAAAAGTTATTTTCCATCATAGGTTTTATCAGGAGGGGTTTACACTAAAAATTAATAGAATATTTTCTTATCAGAATTAAATTTTCTATGAGACGGCACAAAACAGAATTTGAAATTTTCATTATTTCAGAAAATACCTACAAATTTTTTATCTCCTTTTTTTGCCCCATTAGGTACTTAAATCCTCTTTACAAACTCTTATGTCAAAGTTGATATGAAGGAAATATAAAAATTTTGCTTAGAAGAACAAAATACCAACTTGTTCAGGTTTTGATCACAGTGCAGCGTTCCATTCCTGGTTACATGAATTGCATTTAATAGAACCTATATATATAATTATAAATTATTATATATAAAGAACCTATATATAATTCGAATGAGGTTACTTTTTAATTATTGTTTTTTTAAAATAAATATTAAATGAGATGTGTTAGATAAAAAAAAAAAAAAAAACCTGAGATGAATACAAGCATTTTAAATTTATTACAATATACAAGCAACAATGTTAATCAAAATAATGAATTAATCATTTCTCCGGTGAGCTAGAATTTGATGATAATTCTGTAAGTAGGGTGAATCGAAATCTGGAAAACTAGTTAATTCGAATCTCCTTAAGTCAGACCAGAAGATTCATATAATAAATGGATATGTATTCCCTTCTTTGATATATCCCCTGCAAACAGCACTATTGGCGAAATTGCCCTCATCACTATGGGATTCTATAGACATCATATTACGAAGAAGTGTGAAGGCCATTACCAACCAACATGTGCTCTGCTATGATGTAGGCGCGACTCAGAGGCCTGGGTCTTTTGCGGTGTCAGTGGGAGACTCCCCTTCAGCAGTAGTCTATTTCCCAAAAATTGGCAAATGTACGTGATGCCCTGTTTCAGATTTTTTATTTCGAGGACGAAGTTCAACAGTGTGCTGACATGTTAGGTTTCGATGCAAATAATATAGAAGCGTCAATATCAGTGAAGAAAGTTAGGCAGTGTCTGAGGGAAAAGTCATTTGAAGATTGGAGCAAGTGTAAGTGGCAGGGAATAGGTGTGCCACATTTTAAGTAAAACCAATGGGCTAACAAATTTATATATGACAGGCTCAGAGTGGACAAATGTTTTGGAGCTCAATGTCAACTATGCTCAATGCTCCTCTACGAGGATTTCCAGGGACTGGAGGCCAGATGAATAGAGATATTAGATCCCTCTGTCGCAAAAGTGGCCGAGAGTCAGAAACTCCAGTTTATGAATTGGAAAAGTGTCCAAATAACATGCTTATCATAACCCGCTGGCACAATATTATGAAGTATCGAATAGCCATATACTTGGAGACAAACAATTATAAATGCTTCCTCAGAGTGTATTGTCTGGATACGGAAGGCTCAGCAATTTGTAGACATCTTGGCCTTTAGTGAAAAAGGAAAGAAGGCTCTTAAAGTCAATCCTACAATTATATATGAGATGAACGATGAGCAGCAAGATCTCAAAATACAAATTGAAAAGGAGGAAATATATAAAAAATGCATTCCATACCTGAAAAAGAAATATAGAGAGGAATTTGGGGAGAGAACTTTTTCGGAGGAAGGACTTTGGTTTGGAAGTAGAGGGGCAATTCCTCTTTCAACTGCTAGTTTTTTGGAAAAGCTAGGCGTTGAAAGGTATGATATACAGAGTATGGGGGGAAGGTCCATTACTTTGGACTCATTGGGAATCCGGCACCATCAGTTCTATTAAATCAGGTCATTGCTTTATGGATCCGAGTGGCAGAATTGAGAGAAAAGAAAGCAACAACAAATGATATTTTTATATATGAAGTGTATCAAGCTGAGTTTTCGGATATTGTCTACCAGATAGATTAGTATTTTGTCAGTTAGCAACTCAACACAGTTGAGCAGAATTACAATTTTATTGTAAATATATATAATAAAAACATATATAGTGTATTTATACAGACATAGTCCAAACAAATAATTTATTATTTGCTTTTTGCACTTCCGATTTCTTTATCACATTCTAAGTCCGTATTTATAGTTCTAAATGCTCTTTACAAGAAAACTTCTTGCATGTCCCACATGTAATTGTTGCACAAATAATTTTTTTGTCCACTTATGTGACATGTGCCTCTTTTTTTCTTTTGTGGTGGTTCTGAAGTTCTGGAGATATATTGTTCTTGAACAAAAACTCGGTAAGGAATAGTCAAAGGCAAGGAAGGAATTTTAGATCTCAGGTTCATCTGAGGTTTCATGAGATCCATGGCTAACACTTTAATAAATATCCCATGCTTTTGAGCATCTTATATATTTTGCTGAGTTAGTAAAATATGGGCAATGATTCCCCCAATATTTAAAATTGTATAAAAAATGTACATTGGCCAACTTTTTTATATTTTTGATATTTATAGTTATTTGTCATACAGAGATAAGTGTCTACCCCTACCTTCATTTTATTATAATAAAAAATAAATCTCAAAGGGGCTAATGTGAATAACAATATAACTACACGTGCTATTTTTATAATAATAACAATACATAAAATAATAAAATAATATTAAATAGTACTTATATTTTGTATTTCAGTAATAGAGTGAAATCAAGATCATATCAGGTACACACGCGTGTTGTATTATATGCAACAAGCAGACGTTTATCACTGGAAATTCAGTTGACAACTGAATTTGCAAATATTTTCCAAAACAAATTTGATGAACAGGTAGCAGAGTGTATTTGCGAGGAATATATGCAAGGAAAGACTCTAGTGTACCTTAAAGGGTAAAAGAAACCCAATTCTGTCCAGCTGTTGCACTCTAAGCAACAGTGTGGCTCTGGGGTTTAAACTATCTAATATTGAACTAAAGTAGAGATAGACTGATCATACAGGTGAAGCCAGGAACATTAGTACTAGAAAGTTTGTAGCAACCACACAAGGTAGAGATGCAATTGAGGTTAGAAAAGTTGAACACCCAATAGTTACTTGGTGGAATTTAAAACTTGTTGGAAACTACTAGTTATTTGTTTTTTACACAACTATGAAGTGAGTCATTTAGTAAGACAATTTTTGTTGAAACAAATTATAACTAAAAGACCAATAAGCTAAAATTTCAGACAATGCTTGTTCAAGTTCCTGGGAGCTGCAAGGGAACTAGGGCTTGACGTATCTTGGTAGATTGATAACTACGGATAATTTGACCGAAGCCGATATGAAATGGGGTTTGCAGAAGGCCCACAAGTACAAGAACCTCTCAAGAAAGGCAAAACTCTTGATCTATAAGACAATAGTAAGGCTAACTGTCATCTATGGGAACGAATCATGGACCTTAATAGCAGAAAATAGAAGAGTATTGAAAGTATCGGAAAGAAAAGTTCTTCATCACATATTTGGTGCAGTGAAGCAGGAGATCCCTGGTGAATTCGAAAAAATAAGGAGCTGAAGCACTTGTTTGGAGAGGGAGACATCGTCTCCTATATCCAGCTGGGCTGATCAAGGTGGTTGGGACATATAGAGAGAATGGAGAACGGTAGAATCCCTAAAAACTGCTCTACGGGAAGGCAGGTGGTGGACGAAAGCGGGGGAGACTTTGACTGCTATTGTTGGATGATATCAAGGCAGAACTGAAGGCTTTAGGTGTACACCGCTGGAGAAGATGACCTAGACAGCCTGGAGACGGACAGAGCCGAATGGAGGAAGCTGTTGATGGAGGCCAGGCTCTATATGGACTGTAGTGCCAGTTTGTGAGTGTTAGTGAATGAGCTTAAATATGACATAAGAAACTAGCACAGACCTCTCGGGTGATAGCAATAATAGTAAATGGAGCTTCACAATGAATACAATTTTCCAAAAAATTAAATAAATCATTTGTAGAATTGATACATAATTAAATTTGAATTTATTGCAATAAAATATCACAGCACATACTTTATGGTGGTGTCTTTTTTTCCTTTCATGTCTGTCATGGTCCCTATCTTTCTTCTTTTTTTTCTTTTTTGACTTTTTATGGAATGAGGATGAAGACTGAAGAGACTCATCATCTGGTGTGACTGTGTAACTGGAAGTTTGAATATGAGGTCCAGGTGAATCACTGTGCTCTGGAGTAGATGAGCTTCCAACTTTTAAAATAAGTTTTAATGCAGGAGGCTTTTCACCAATCAAGCCTTTATCTGTAAAATTTAAAAAAATATTAATATAAGCTTGTCAAAAAAGTATCTTTGGCTATCACTTAAGTGTTGTAGTTTTAACACTAATATTTAATATTAAAGTCTCTTGTAAATGGAGGATATAAATCTATAATTTAGGAACTAGAGAGGAAGAGTTAGATAAGAAATCATACAGTTTTTTATTATTAAATATTAAAAATAATAGTTGGATTTCTGCATGCAGTAATGGTGACAACAAGATTAACTTCTACCCTGTTTTCGAGTCTGGAACATTAATAAATAAATACAACAAAACAAATAGTGTATCCCGCCTTCAACTAATCCTATTTTTATATCGACTGCCTGTCGAGCAATATTGACAAGAGAAAATTCAATTTAACTATCATATTAATAACAAAAGGCTACATCGAATGGTCAAACAATTTGTTTAATGTTACATTACACAAAAAAGAGATTACAGAATTTAGATGATAATAAAAACATAAGAAGATAGAAAAGCTAAATAAGGATTGGAAATAATAATATGAATTCAATAAAATTGTGAGATTATTGGGGTAAGTGCGTACTAGATTTAAAATGTTCGACTTTAAACAAATGTAGTAGGTATATTAATTTTTAAAGTTATATTTTTCTCTTCTTTTTTAAAATAATTGTGAAATGATTATATTTTAAATATAATGCTCAAAACCAAGTTTCAATCATATGCATTTTTATAAGACTGAAAATTGAATTAAGTAGTATGTAGTATTTTATTGAGGGGTAAGTAGGTATGGTGAATGTGGAAAATTCATTATTCAGTAGCAGTTATTGAAGAAGTACCAAACAGTTTGTTTCAACAGGAATATTTTACAGAAGTTACCATTGAAAGATTTATCTTATTTATATCTTAGAATCTTAGAGTCGAACAGCTGTTAAAACTTTAAACTAAAAAGCTTTAATAAAAACTGGGTAACTTTGCTCGCGTCCGTACATTGTACACGTGCCCTCCGGTTATAACTAAATGAGCAATATTGTCGCCGCGAAGACAGTTCAACATCATAGAATCCACAAAAATATGAATCCATCAAAATTAAGGAAACCAAATGGCTCAGTCAACACACAGCTTAAGGCTATGTTCAGAAACGCTGGTGGCCTAACTGCTGACAAATTCACAGAATGGAAGACGATTATTACAAAGGAGGATGCTGATTTATATGGGATCGTAGAAGCCAGCTCATCCACTGAAAATATCTAGTTCTACCAATTACCAGGATATCAAACTTATAAACTTTAGAGATTCGGGCAGGTTGCTTCAGGAATAATTGTCACTGCTAAATCATCCTTCAAGGTAACCTTTTCAATTAAAAGGAAGATGAAAGAGAATGATAAATTGGAGGCTGTACAGTTAGATGCATAGAAAAGGATTCATAGCAGAGTTGTATTGGGCTGCCAGGAGCCAAATAGCCAACGGCAAAAGCGTTGAATAAAAAAAAAAATATCTTAGAATCATCAGTATAAGTCATGAAAATGGGATGTGGGACATAATTGAATAAATTTACTGAAAAAAGAGCTGCTATTCTAAATCCCTAATCTGTAGTTACTTTAGAAATACATAATAGTAGTGGTATGTGCACATTACAAGTACGTGTCCAAGTACAGAAATATGCACTTACCCCTAGTATCATGATATGCCAAGAAAATTGTGGACTAGAAATCCATCAAGGAAAGATTTAAGCCACTAAGTACTTTGAAGAACAGCTTCTGAAGTTTTCATTAGTGGTGGATAAACACTGATACAGCTAAATAGCAGAAACTGAAAGATCCAACTTATTTAACACGTTAGAACTGATGGAAGTTACAACTTGTAATATTTTACTTTTAGATTACTCTTATGGCTGATTTTGGAAACATCAGCGTTTATAATATATAAACTATAAATTAAAATATACAATTTAAGTTCTGTAAAAATCAGTGCATAAAAGTTATAAAGTAAAGAAAAGTTACAGGCAAATTTAGATGTCTGGAGAGAAGAGTTAGCAAAAAGAAATGCTGCTGTCTAGAAGTAAGAAGGATTTTGGAATTCACATTCAGGAGAAGATGATACAACAGGTTCCTGTGTTCAATTATTTGGGTGTGACGGTCAGTGAGAGTGGGAAGATCAGAGACAAAATTAATATGAGAGTTGCCACTTCAGAAAGGATGTGTTCTGTAAGACAGAAGTGGCAAAATAAACAAAACTAGCTGTCTATCGCTCGACCTTCGTCCCTATCCTCACTTATGGGAGCGATTCCTGGGCCCTGAAGCAACGTGATCACAGCCACCTTCCAAAGCATGGAAATGATGTATCTTAGGAAAATAGAGGGAAAGACCAAGAGACACCAAATACGTAACACAACGATACGGACTACACTAAAAATTGAACCCCTCAACCAGATAACAGAGAAAGGGCAGTTTCGATAGTTCTCTCATGTAATCAGGATGGATGACCGCCGTTCAGCAAAGAAAATTATGGAGGTTAAACTAGTGGGAAAAAGACCTAGAGGAAGACCAAGAATTACTTTTGAAGATACCTCAAAAATATTCTTAAAGACAGGAATTGGAAGGCCAGAAGCCAGGGGAGCAGCCCTCGACAGAGACGGATGGAAATCCTTGTACAAAAATCTCTACACCCAAAGGCTGAAGAGAATATTGAATAAGAAGAAGAAAAATCAGTGCACACTACTTTAGAGCTTGGGTTTAATGATATAATTATGCACTTATCCCACATTACAGTAACAAAATACTACAGAAAATAACTTAACTCCTATAATACTAATAGATCAATAAATTAATCTTGTGAAAATAATTTATTCAACATTAAAGATAGTTTATAAAAATAAATATTCATTTTACTTCAAATCAGAGCAATGTAAAGTGACGGTGATATTTCAATAGGTTTATTAAACTCAATATGATCCAAGCAAGCTTTATATAGAACGGTAGGAGCAGGTCAAACCATATGATTTTGCTAATCAACACAATTTATTATAACCACATAACATTAAATTTTATAACCATAAAAACATCTGAACACATTACATTATTTACATATGATAACGATTGTTTATCAAATTAAATTAAATCATATGGTTTGACTTGCTCCTACAGAACTTTAAATATAGATGAAGATGTACAATATTGTAAAAAAATAAACTGACAAAATTAACCTAATGAAAATTATCCATAACAAATTTGAACGCTAGAGTTAAAAAAAGTTAATTCATTATACGGACCTTACAATCTATCAAATATACCAAAACATATGTTTTGTAACAGTATTACATTGTATTTTAACATCAAATATTAATATTCATACCGATAATAACCATACTTGAGATGATGGCATAAACAATAAGTAGAAATAGAGAAATATCAATTAGTGACTAACCTTCATATTTGTCTTTTTTGTGCTTTTTGTGTTTCTTACTTGATCCCATTATGATTACATTTAGGCACAGATGAGTTCAATATAAAATATCTAAGCGCATTCACGAATAATAAAGGCTGTTATGGTAACAAATTCTTACCAATTTCTATAAGATAGAATTTTCTTTATTAAAAACCTCTTTCTTAGCTACCAAATACAGAACATCCATTGTCACAGTAAATACTAAGTGGTATTGATGCTAAAAATGTGCACTTTAACATATTCGAATAATACTAAGGAATATCCTTCAAAAAAATAAATGCTATGTTCAATATGACATCTTGTATCCAGTTTTACTCAATAATACGCCAGTAGTTTAAATTTATGACAGCTCAAAAAACTGAGTAAATTTCAACTAATTTAAGATAAACTTGGAAATGTATTCGTTTTAATTCTATATTTCAAAGTTAACACTATAAACAATCACAAAACTGCCGGCAGTAACCAATGTAACTCAAAACAACTAGCTAAGGTTAAAACAGAGTGCAAAGAGGAACTATTTCATACCCGATTCACAAGTTTCAATTTTTCAAGCAACTAACCGACAACTTAACAAACCCCGCCTACCAAGAGAAACCTGTGATCGGATTCTGCATGCTGTAAATATTTAGAGATTTAAATTTAGCATCTAGAGAAAAAAAATAGGTACAAAACAATATTCTGAAACAAAATAAAATGAAAAATGGCCTCATGTTTATGCAACAGTAAAAATAACTATTATTGAAGAAAGTTAGTCGACTGTTCTACATATCATAGTTGATAAATAATCAGGAAGCAATAATTTTAAGATTTTTATTGTTTCCCACGTTTCAACCCAAGCATGTGGGTCATCAGGGCATGTCTCCAGTACTGAAGGTGTTCTAGTGCTTAAACACCTAAAACAGCTATTGAAATGAGTAGAAAAACCGTTCTCAATTTTTAAAATTGTTCGAATTGGGCAAGTTCCTAAAATCAGCGCTGATATAATTTATTGACATCGGAAGTCCATCAGGCTGTTCCTAAACTCATAGATGGACCTATAAATGGAATTTGGCGTGTTCCTTTCTTCATGGATCGAATCACTGATGGCTTACCGGTTCCATCAGCTTTTGGTGTCGATAGGTCCTCTGGATGGAGACTCATTATTGTTATTTCATATATTCATATTACTTTCTATGTATATCTATTGCTGTTTTGAAATTCTACGGTTCAGTAGATAAATATTTCGTTACATATTTTTTTTATTTTTCATGTTTGCATGGCAGATGTTTTTACATTCCAGGAATGAAAACCTTGCGATAGAATTCAGTAGGGCGTTCCTAACCTCAGCCTGAATCCCAGTCTATCGGTCGTGGTTTCAATCGATCGATGGATGCCTACGATGGGAAGCAGTGAATACAAATTTGAAAATGTTCTTCATGTTGAAAGTTGAGGTGTCCTGGAAGAATCTTGTCAAAGGAATAACCGTAAAATTTGCTGATTGGGATAACGTTATTTTATAGTGAATATTATGATCAAGAGACGATAAAAGATTATATGTACTTTAAGCTCGTTCAAAATATCTCTTTCTATGTAAATTTATTTAAAATTTATATAGTATTTACATTATCATAATAAAATATGTTGGTTCACTTTGAAATAAAAGAATAAAATAAGAATAAAAAAATATATTCTTTCATGAAGGTGCTCAACACCTGCATAACTTCGTTGGCTCCTCCATAGGAAATGCTAGTTGCACGTTAGTAGTTTAAAAAGGAGTAGCAGAGAATTTATTTATGCGCCGCACAGTGGTTGAAAATCGTTTTCGGGAAAAAATAACGCTGGAAATACTGATCTATAAGTCACAGAAAAATAGTTTTGATACCATCATAATCGCAACTAAATTTTCTATATAATATTCACAGTAGAACCCCGTTCTCTCAGGGTTAACGGGGGATAAAAGAGATGAATATATTTTTTTCTCTCAGAATAAGATAGCCTCAGCTAACTAAATTATTGAAACTAATGAGATAGTTTTTTTTTTTTTATAACAACCAATCTTGACCTGTGAACTTATATTAAGAGAATGAATGATGTAGCATACTAATAACGGGGAAATTAACAGTGTAACAAATAGTGAAAATCTTGCTATAGTGTGAAAGAAGAGTTATTTAGTATTTTACTTTTTTCAATAGCCTAGACAGCACTTATATTGTAATTGACGGAAACACTTAGGATCAGTTAAATAAAAACAAAAATTAACAGGTCTTGTAAAGACTATTAAATACTGAACAATCGCTTATACACTTAAATTAAATCAAATATTCAAGAAAAGTTACAATACGCTGGTCTAATACACATATAAGCTATAAATTAATTTTTGTAGACACATTTAATTTTAATTTTTAATTTCACTTTAACCAGTCATGTCTCGATTCTGACTAGGACGGATAAACGAGGTTGTATTGTGGTTTAAAATTTTTTTATAGTTAAAGTATTAAGTCAATTTATCAGATATCTATTCTTTAAAAAATATTAAATTGTTTATGAATTTTATAAAATGAATAAAAGCAAAAGCATGATTTAGCGAGGAGATAGAAGGTTGAGAGCTTTTATTTTATGATTTCACTCCGTGCTACCTAATACCAAAAACTCATTCCATGAAATTATTTTTTAAAAACTTATTATTTTTAAAATTCGAATTACTTAAATATTTACTAACTTATATACAACATGATAAGAATAAGACGGAGTTCCTCATTTTTATCCGAAATAAATAGAATCTGAAGAACTATTTTTTATAAATTTAATTTTTGTTTTATTTATATATTTTTGAAAACATATAATTATATCTAAGGGAAAGATTTAGAAATAAAATACAAAGACATAGTAATTTATATATCATATAAAAAAATATTAAATAGTTTTGATTTTTAATACGAATAAAAAAAACCTAACTAATTCTTACGTTTTAAAACAATCAATTGATATTTCTAGTAATCAATGACTAATTTAAAATATAACGAAAATATACATTAAATTATATAACACGTAACAATATACTTAAAATTATATATGTTTATTTTATGGTCAGTATTTTTTTCATTGCAAATAGTCGCTCGTTCAAAAATAAACTAATAAGTTTAATTTAATATATAACATAAAATTACGCTTAAATTACAGAGGCAGGTGAACGCAGCTGGAATCTGTTTTAATATGTTTTTAAGGATTCTAATCTTAATAAACAAATAGATGTTAGACCTGCGGTCTGCTACGATAAAAAGGTCTGAACCAACAAAATATTTTTTTTTCTATTTATTTTAGTACTTTTTGAAAATAATATTGTGAACTTGAAAATACTAATAAGTAATTTATTTTTTCACACAGTGTATCGTTTCGAATAGCTGTTCATGATTATAAAAATAAATCATACCAAACATACAAAATGTGAGTGAAAATAATAATAATAATGTCGAACAATTTTCGTTGCAATTCAAACATTATTCCATGGTTGGATTTGGAAGGCTCGTACAACGTTAAAAATCGATATTTTACTGATTGAATTAGTGAAATATCTTAGGCACTAATCTATTTTTGATTGACGAAGAGAAAATAGTTTTTTAAATGCCTTCAAAAAATAGTTTTTCCATCTTTCAATCACTGTGGGACGTCGTCACACTACCATCTCCTCTCTCTGAATTATGTAACTTGGTTCCTCTTGCAATCGGGAACATTGCTGCCATTCGTGAGTAACAAATCCTCGTACTCATCATACTTGAGAAGTGTTCAACTAATTGAATGACGATTGAAAAATCGCCTGATAAACATAGCCACTGGTTTTAGAGTGTCATACACAAGAATTATTGGAAATGTAATTTACCGACATTTATACAAAATATACAGTTGTTAACGGCTGTTCCAAGAACGTAGTGGAATGCATATTGAGGCTTGAGTGTCGATTGAAAATTTAGCTGTAGTCCGCTTGTCCGTCATGATGCGTTGAGTCACAAGTCACAAGTTATTTCAGTTTTAAGTCAAAAGTTAATTTAAGTAATAATATTTATATTTGTATTCTTAGTTTTGGATTAATTCCTCCTTGCAATAAATTAGTTCTTTTTTTTTTTTTTTTTAATTCCGCTCTATTTTGCACCTTCATATTCTCTGAAAACAGGCCAGCATCCCTTGTAAACTTATATATACCGGGATAAACTAATTGGCTCAGCTTTTGATCAGCCTTTAATGCAGTCACAACCATAATCGAAATTCCGCATCCTAGACAATACGTCGCATCTGCATGTAATGTGGCAAGAAGTTTCATCCTCTTGACTTAAGAACCTTCAGGTCTGTGCTTCAAGTAATCCCAAGTTAGAGACGTGCTTATCAAGTCGTGACCCATATATAGTCCTGTCTTAACTCTGAACCTTGAAGTACTCCTTTTCTTGAGTAGAGGTATTTGCTCTTTTCTTTGGACAGGTCCTACTAGGAACAACTTATAATGTGTTTATTTCCTAGTATTCTCTTAACGGAGCTTAGTCATATTTCCCACAGCTACTTCAACACTTATTTTCGCACAAATGACTCCAATTTAACAAATGGGCTCCGGCGCTAAAGTCTGTTGTTCTAATAAGCCCTTCTTACCAAGGTTAACCGTCTCCTGATTACCAGAGATTCCTGAGTGTCCAGAAACCCACTCATCCCTCTCCTTGCTTTACTTTCATCCACCAATTTAGACTGGCTTGCATAGCCGCTTGGTCCTAGGTACCAATATCCGCTTATCAATCCATACATATCGAGATTCAAGTTTCCGATTACTTCAGCACTTACTAGACAAACGCTCAAAACTTCCAATTAATTACAAAAGACTCATATTCATGACTATAATAAGGCCTATTTGGACATACGGAGTTGAGCTATGGGGCTCCACTAAACCATCGAATTCCTCTCGTATCCAATCCTTACTATCCAAATACCTTTCTTAAAAACCTCAATACTCTCTACTTTGTTATAAATAAAACGATCCATATGAGCTTAATGTTTCAGATCTAGCCCAATCAGATACCAATCTTCCATAATAAACTTCAGAATCATCCCAACCCTCTCGTTTCTAACCTTGCTTCCTCTTCCATTCCTAATAACCCTCCAAGGCGTCTGAAAAGAAGAAGGCTCCGTAATCTCCTAATGTATACATATCATTACAATGCTACCATTGGGTAGTTTCTCAACAAGTGTTTTCACATCATTATATCCATACGTTCAAATTTACTAAACGTATTTCTTTAATACAGTTGTAAATATTATCAAGAAAAAAATAGACTCTCATTTAAACAAAACTATATTGATTTACTTCAGTATAAAATCGTAAAACCATTTTTTAAAACTATATTCAATCTAGTTTTGTATGATGTACGATCTTAAATTGTTGTAACCATTGTAACAACCATTAAGGAATATTAAATTATAATGATGGGGGTAATGGTAAATTATATATATAAAATCAAAGATTTTGTTTATTTAATGAAAGAATTACTACTGCATGCAACAAACCTATCCTAGGTAGTAAATTACATTTTCACCAATATGCCAAATATATTTTTTTATCTTAAAACATATCTTTTGAAACAGAACACTTGAAATATTATTTTCGTATTTATTAAACAAAAATTATAAAAAACCTTTGACAGCAATTTTCCATACATAAGGGTTAGTATAGAAATTCATTTAATTTATATATCCTATTTAATTTCAATTTTAAAACAATAAAATTGAAATACACCATTTTATAATAGACAGTTTATTTTTATTTAGTTAAAATTTCTTTTATTTTTTGAACAACTCCTTTAAAATTGTTTTCATTTTCTTGTGATGTCGGAATGATGAAATCCATGTGGTTGAAGTTCTCATCTTCTATGTAATGTTTTGTTTCCACTTTAATTTCCTTGAGGAGAACGTCGACATCCTGAAATATATTTTACACATTATAATACATGAGTATGAATGGTAATACTCGTGGTAACAAAAATATTAGTAATACATTAGATTTAGAAATCCTTTGGAGAAAGATAAACTTAATGATAGATTAAATATTTAGGTTGCGTAAGGATAATATTCTAAGTTCGGCTGGCTGAAAAAAATTTAAAGCTAAGAATTAGGACGATTTTAGATTCATTTGTAACTTCAGAGAGATTGTTTTCCTCCGACTTGATGATATTGTCCAGTTTTTAATTCCGGAGGTGGACGGACATTCTCTAAAAATGGTTGAAGTTTTAAACCGTTGTTAGATAGTTTTTAATTGTAGATCGGTATAATGCAAAGGTGAAGCAATAAGTAGATTGAATTTAAACCTAGAATATTCAGGGCTTTTTGAGGGATATAAGACATATTCTTATTGATAGATTCATCCGCTAAGTATATAATGTTCATGTTCCATGTAAGAGTGGCATTATTTTTTATGTCGCCCAAAGTAAGCTCAGATCTGGAACTCTGGAACGGGATAAGAGCAGCTGAAGATGTTATACAGTGACCATCAAAATGTAATTATATCAAACTGAATATAATTACATTTTAAATATTTAATTAATAAATTTATCGTTTAACTATGACTTCAATACCGTTGTTATTAATTTTATCGTTCATATTTGTCTAAAAATAATTATATATATTTTAAATAAACATTTAGGTAAAAAGTATTACATATTATGTAATAATTTAGCCCAGAAGTCTATATATACATATATTTTTTATAAAATGCCGGGATTAGTGTAAGGTGACCGCATTTAACTGAAATTAATAATTTGATTATGGAAGAATTATTTTAGCGGGGAATTTGAAACCCAATTAATCTCCTCCATATTTGTCCTGATTCATTTTTTTTCCTTCTTCATTTATTCATTTCACAATATTAAGAAAAAAATTGAGAAATTTGTCTTCCTAACTATTAAAAACCCTCCGAGGCGTCTGAAAAGAAGATGGCACCGTGATCTCCTAATGTAGACATATTATTAGAGTGCTACCAGTGGGTAGTTTTTCAGCAAATGTTTTCATGTCATTGGATCCATGTGTTTTACCAGGAGGCTGAGGTAGCCGTGCGGGCTAATTCGCTTGCAATTGGTAATTAAAAATTGTGCAATGTCGAGCGTGGTTAGTACTTGGATGGGTGACCGTCCAACAAGGGAAGCCAGGCTGCCCGAGATTCCTGTCCCACCCTCGGGTATGTGAGGCCCGACAGTTTACTGGAGGCAATTCACACCGACCGGGCGTAGGACTGATGACCCTACCCCGTGTACTTAATTCGGAAATCGGGATGTGGTCTACTAGGATGTCAATAGCCTCTTTGAGGTTTGGTCCACGGACGGTCTGTTTAGGAAAAAGATAGACCCTCGTGCGCCTGTTGGTTACGGAGCTACGATCATGGTTCGTAGCAACGTGAGCTCGGGTGACACCCTCTAAGCTATCTGTGCTACCGGAAGCAATATACGTCTGTATGGAGACCACATCTCGAGGACAAAGTACAAATTTACTAGATTTATTTCTTTAATACAGTTGTAAATATCATGAATTAATAAATAAATAAACTGTTGAAAAGGATACAGCTGTTGAAGGAATCGTTTGAGACAGTAGTTTAATGGAAATAGAGGGTTTGAAAGGAGACAAGTGGTCATAATAAAGAAAATTAAAGTGAAGTATTCCGATAGAATAGTACACGGTGTAGGACATTATAGAATGAATTTTTATTTGAATAATTTATTCAATAATTAATATATTACCATTTTCCAGTTTTGACCTCTTTTTCGTAAATTAACTTCTCAATATTTTTCGCATGTAGGTAGATTCTATAAAATAATCACACTTAATTTTGTCGATTATTGTTTATTAATTTACGTTTCAGGGAATCTCTGTCCCCTTCTCCCGCATATAATATGCCCCACCAGAATTGGGGAAGTCCTAATTGTTAATATGTTTGGTCAATGATTAAAATTAAACTTTTTTTTTTTTTAGTATTTTTTTTAGAAAACTAAGAACTCCTGTTTTCCGAAGTTGGGAAACAAAATAATAAGAGACATAGCTAATGGTATAGTCGTTCCATATTACCTGAGTTGCTGCCAAATGATCGCTTTCACAATAAAAAACATGAAGATTATTCTTGATAGCCTTCAAATCGATCTCTGGAGCAGTTGCCTGTCCATACGCCTTAGTATTTTTTTCTTCCCCGTAGTCAAAAAATGTGGCTTTGCCTGAAAAACAATCACTAAATAGTAATTAAAAATAATAATTATTTAAAAAAGAATCCTGCGGCATCAGAAAAAAATAACATTATAATGCGTTTCAGGTAATTAATATATTTTTTTTAAATTTATGTTGAAAAGATATGAAGTTATTTCTTTTTAACGTATCTCGAAGTCTCCATAGAAGTTGCTGGGATAGCTTAGGAATGTCGAGATTCATTTTCTGGAAGCATCACTAAATAAGTATTAACACCCCCCGAGTGGAATTCGAACCCACACCGCTCCGAGAAATCAAGGCCCCTCGACCCAAAGAGATTAAAAATCTCAGCTTAAAGCATAACATGTCAGTGATTTTTTCCTTGGTACCGAGACATTTATGATTTTTTTTTAACTGAATTTATTTTAACATAAAACTTTTTGATTGATATAAGTATTTTTGACAAAGAATAAAGCGATAATCCATGTTCTACACAGCTTTACCAAAAATTAAATAATATTTAGATTATAAAAAAAAAATGTAGATTCTCAAAACAAAATTGATTGAGCTCTTTTTTTTTCTTGGGAAGTACACAAAAAATATTTTTCGACTGACGTTTCGGCCTAAGTTTCGGGCTTTTATTAGAGCTAACAAGGAGAGATTACGGACGTTGGGTCACCGATTTCAATGAAACGTTTTTTGGTGAAACTAGGTCAAACAATATTTGACCTACATAAGTCCTTGAGAATGCGTTCTAGGATTCGAGAAAAAACAATTTTTATAAAATTTTACTAACTTTCTATATTACTGTTATCGGACCTTGCTCTGCAGGGATTTCTAAATTATTATACATCATTCGATTTGCATATAGTAAAAAAAATCATATTACTCATTGTTTTAAATGAATTCTAATGTATAATAAATTACAAAAACCCAAAACAGCTTCCAGTAAAGTGGGCCAAGTAAATTTTTGTCATGAAAAAAACAATTCATATTCGTTTTTAGCGTCCACTTAAACCCTTTGTTGGGGCCAGGGGTATTTCGAAATTCAAATACAATCCTTTCCCCGTTGAGTTTCCTCAAAGGTGGGGAAAATACGAATAAAATTAAATGATGGGAAAGAAGGGTAAAAATTATGAGTAAAAAATGAGACCTGTTAAACATGAAAAAAACACGCACAACAACATAATATAAAATAAAAATATTCATTAAATCAATAATGGAAAATAAAGAATTCCCGTTTTGACGTTTATAATTTAGTATAGTGGAAAAAAGATATATACAAATGTTCAAAACAAAATGAAATAAGAGTGTTAAAATACACTTAAATAAAACCAAACATAAATACAATATTCAGTGAAAATAAAAAATTGTCCATTAAAAAATAAAACATAAATATACTTCTAAAATTAGAGGTAAAAATAATTTAACACTCAATCGAATGTCCAAAAGAATAAACTAATTTAGAGGAGAAACAAAAATTAAATAAATGTTCAACGTCTTTTGTAGATGAAAAAAAAATAACAACGATCCCAGAGATAATTAAACAATATTACTTCCACCGAGGTTATCTCTCTTGGTGTTCTGTGATCGATGGTGGTGAGTATCGATAGGCGTTTCGATATCGATGGTCGCTGATGTGCGGAACATATGTGGTTAGAAAATGGCGCTAGGCTGGCGCAAGGTGAGGTTGAGACAGAAGCAGTTGGTGGGAAGAGGGGAGCGGAGGGTCGGATGTCCAAATACATAGACCCTGCGTCTATGAAAGCTCGCTCCTGACTGACTTCCCGGCAGTCTTATCATAAATTGTTGGTGTCTTAATACCCAAGACTTGGTATTACTGCCGGGCTGATGGGTATAAATAAGCGATAATACGTCGCGAATAATATCCGATATATAAATAATATACATTGAGTTATATTTTCTGGAACAATTATATCTTAGCTTTTACAAAAAAAAAATAATAATAAACATTTATTCAATGAACATTCAAAAAAATAAAAATGGTAAGACAAAATAATAATAAAAAAATAAAGTGTGTATGCGGCGTTTACACCCTTAAATACAAGTTTGTTTAAAAAAAATTTTGTACTCAATTTTATGAGATAATTTATTTCCATGCCGTTTACTAAAATATTCATAGCTCCTCAGGATTCTCTCCTAAGTCAACAATTAGAAAGATAAATTACTGCTCTTCAAAACCATATTTCCTAATTTTCTGTTGGAAATTGGTCCATTGCTTAGATGAACTGCTATGTATCTGTTGAGATCTGTTATCACTTCGATAAAAATCTCCCTCTACTGATTTGTGTATTTCTAAGTATTGCAAATTCTAGCCAACTTCTCTTTATTAAATAAACAATGCTATTACAAAATACGCCTTCTTTGTAATCATGATAATAATTAACGTACTATGAAATCAATATTTTTGTATTTTTATTCATTGAATTTATTATACATATAATGGTACATTTGGTACAACTATTAGGGCACTTGGCAGACTTAATCAATCCTTCGTTCCAGTCTTAATTTTTGTGAAATGTTTAGAATAAATAAAATAAAAACTAAAATAGGTGAAGTTAATATAAAATAAACTGGTCTGTGGGGAAAGGCGGTGTAAGATGACGAAGTTAAGTTTTTGTTATTTTTCCTGGCCACTGGGAGAAGATTTAAGAACTGAATTTTTTATGAGAACTTCTTCAATATCTCGCGTAATACCGTCATGTTATGGGTTTTCACAAAAATTGGAATGGGGGTTATCCCAGCTACGGGGTAAGATGACAAAAAGATCTGAGATTTTATACATATATATGATTTCAGCAAGAAATATAAAACTGTGAAAGTAACCACAAACGGTTACCAAAATATACGATAAGTAAAATTTATTTTAGTACTTTAAAGTCACATTTATAGTCCCAGTGACTTGCATCACTCTGGTCCCGTATGCAACACTCAGAATGAGCCCAGTTGAAGTACTTGCAGTACTGCTACCACAGTTTGTCATTGCCTTCCTCCGAGCACAATTTGTAGAATTCGTTATCTTTTCCCCTCACGCAATTTTGACCAATCTAACATTTATCAGTAACCAAAGCTATTGTGAAAGAAATAGGTCTCCTATGCGTTATGGAGCTTTGCATTCAGAATATTATAGCAAGAAAGTTGGAAAATATACCTTTGACTACTGATTCCTTTGCCTTTCGAGATTCGAAAGTTACTTCGAACTGTTCTGTGTCTGAACTCGTGGTTAAAAGTGAACACAACATGAACACACTTGTTTATACTAATGAGTTACGTAGTCCAACACTACACCAATCTTATGCTGGATAGGACGTAATCCTAACTGTGATTGATAGTGAGAAATACAGACTTTGTCATATTTTCCAATTTGTCATATTACACCATTTTCCACTAAATTGAAAAGAATAAAAAAATGTCGATATGACAGTTATAGAGAAACGTAAGAGAGATTAATTGTGTTTATCTGTTAGTAACCCTTTTCGTCGGAACAATTACTTTATTTATCTAGAACAACATATAGTGTAACATCAGCAGACTTCTAGGAACACACGTACTGGATTCTTTCTCCCAGTAATTGGAGAATCTTCCAGCTTTTTATTACCAATTAAAAATAAGTAGTTGTTAAGTTTAATTCTAACAAGCTAATCAGAAATATATTGTTAAACTTTTGTTCCAAGCAATATTCACGAAAGTTATTATTTGTTACTAATGAATATACTTAATTGGGGCCCAAACATAGATTGACTCCTTAAAGACATGAAATTCATACTGCCAAGTATGAACAGGACTTTTAATTAAAACAAATATTAATACTATATGACAAAATAAAAGATAGAAAAGAGACAAAAGGTAATTGTACTATAAATGGAAAAATCCAAACAACAAAGCCACGAGTCTCCAAACATGCGGGTGAATAGTTAACTTTAGTGTTGCCGAAATGCGAGACCGAGACGAGTCTTGGTCTTGCAAACACAGTCTTGGTCATGGTCTTGGTCTTGCGCAAGCGTGACGCAACAGACTTGCAGTTACTTATTAGCTTATTACTATACAGATATTACTGTAATTTTTTAGATAAGAGAAACCTAACTAAGCCCAAATGAAAAATTAGAGGATTTAAATTCAAATGTCTATACCAATTAATAGTAACTAAACACATAGTAACTAAGCTTGTCGAGTATTAGTAACTATTTTGCCTAAATTTTTATTTAAAAAATCGATTTTTTTTACCAGTCTTGGTACCAGTTTTGCAACCGTTAGGCGGCCTTGGTCTTGGTCTTGCGAAGTGCAAGACCGATTTCGGGCAACACGATTTAACTTGCCAACGACGTTTCGCCAATTCAGGCATCATAAGGGTAAAAAACACAGATCAGTTTTCACCCGTATGTTTGGGGACTCATGGCTTTGTTGTTTGGATTTTTCCATTCATAACACAATATTTTACAACCTAAAATGAATTATTGAATCGATTATTATTTTTAAAATTTTTTCATAACTTCAGGAATGTAAAAATATTTTCATATTAAAAATGATTATATTATATTATAAATTATTTTAAATCTTAAGAACTGTAGGTGCATCGGCATTACTGGAATACTGACACCTATGATGAAACGTGCAAACTAAATAGTAAATGATCGCTATCACAGATCAAACACCTTTTGTTTTGTGTTTTGTAGTAACCTACACTCTATTGGGCCAAACAGCCCAAATTTATTGTATATGTAAATATTTAGTTGTGTTTATTATGCACTTCTATTTTTATAGTGAATTATACGTCGTGGCATAACACTTTTGACCAAGGGCTCCTTCATATTTTACGGTAAGTTTTATTATGTTGCCGTAGTTAAATTATAAACCAGTTTCAACTATGGCGTTGTAAAAAGTCAACGATTACAATTGTACAGGAAAAAAGTATATATATATATATATAATATATATATATATATATATACATACTGTATGTAAGTATGTATATATATATATATATATATATATATATATATATATATATATTATATATATATACAGGGTGCCCCGTAAGTAGAGATTTAAAGGGATGATAGCAGACCTCGAGAGCTACAAAAAAGTATTTCTTCGAATAAATTACAAAATAATTATTATATTTTGGTTATATATAATAAATTTACCCTTCATGATACACAGCATGAGATGTTCAAGATTTTTCTTTGATGTACCAGCTGGCATAAATTCACCAACTTTCTGCTTCGACATCTGTAAAGACAAGCATTACTCAGAGCCAGATAAATAAATAATTCACGACTTAAAATTATTTTTACTTGATTTATTGAATTTTAAAACTGTATTACAGATGAGATCATAGTAGGTGGACAGTCTTAATAATTAATTATTTTATTTATTTGTTTTCGGGGAATGCCCTGTACAAATAAAGTTGGCTATAATGATAACAATGAACAAATTAATATGAACAACATTTACAACTTATATGCAAAGGAAAATTCATTAGGATTCAGTGACAACATCCTCTCCTGATAACAACCAAACATGTGACTGTATGCCTAAGTATAAACAATGAAATATAATATAATACCACATATAATACAATAATTAAAATAATACATCTGAACATAGCGAGCAATTAAATGACAAATAGCACTAATAATAAAGATAAATACAGGCACAGTATACAATATATAATATATAAACATGTCATTAATAAATAGCAAATGATACAATAAAACACGATATGCATATAAATATGTTTCATGCATGAGTAATAAATACCACAAGCAGAACAAAGTAAATAAACTTCAAAGTTTTGGAAAAATATATGTAATGTCATTATTCATTGAAAATAATTAATCATGAACATAGCTTATAAAGAAACTACTCATGTTATACCACTACAATTTAGTTTTATGTAAAAAGGACCCAAGACTTAACAATGGTTTATGAATTTTTTTTAGGACAGGGTGATTTATAAGCGTAGGTGTCGATCCCTATAGGTCGATGAGGACGCGTCCTCACCAATGTAAACTATGGTCCTATTCGTCCCAAACAATATTTTCAATGGTCAAATATAAACTAACTTAAAATCTTACAGATTTGCATTAACAAACAATTAAGAATAAATTTGATTATCATACAGAACTTGTGATAAGCGCTATTGTTGCTGGATATTTCAGCAGATATTTGCCTTCCTGAACGGTTTTTATTTATTTATTTTTCAAACTAAAAATAGTTAAAACGAAATTTCGAATTAAAACATTTCTTTGCAACACAAGCATGTTAACACCTCTTCATTGTGATTTAATCAGAAGTCATATCTAGGAGTACTCTGCAATGGTGCAATGATTTTGTAAGTTTATACTACCAAATATTAAATCTGAGGGCATAAATCAAGCAAAATATATACCATGGGTTGAAACGCATTGTTAACAGTTTCTCTAATGAACTTATAGAGAGGATGGGATGGGCCAGCACGTTGAGGCGTGGGTCCCAGAGTGCCCGGTTCTAAACGTTGTCGGTTCGATTCCCACCTGGGTCGGTTACTTTTCATTTCTCGGCGGCTCCCGGAAATCGATCGTGATAGCATCCCCATTCTGGCAAGTAGGTGGTGGCAACCTCAAGGTAGCCATTAGGATGGCAAAAAGGACCACTATAGACCCACTTGCCGGAGGACTAGTTTCTCCCACTAGTACCAGACATGAACCTATGGCTACTTTTTTGTAATGAAGTTCTAAGTATATGAAAACCTGTACCACTACAACACATGAAGGATTCTGGGTTGAGTACTTTGGTAGTAAGTACTGTTTCAAGACCAACGGTTGATTGGGACAGGATCACGCTCAACTGCCAGGCTTTGCCCCGAATTAATTATTTAATTAAGAGTAACCAATTTATAGAGGCTGGGTGTGCCCTAGGAGAATCTCCTGGCTCCAAGTTGGATCCACGTTTGATGAAAAATTTCTATGTAAAAGTTTATGTTTCATTTATTTAATTTCTTAAAAAAAAGTACGTTAAATGATAAATAAACAGTTATTGAGTATGGATTAGAGTTACAATTCACCTTTAATGAATTAATTGATTCTAATTAGTCGTTTGTTTGAGTAGCTAAGAATAAAAGTAATTTTTTAGATTGTCATCTTTTTGGTGAAATCAACAGAACTTTTAATTAAAAATTTTAGTTAAAAATTTGCAAGCGAGATGATATTTTGTATCAATCACTATTTTGTATTAAACTAATTATACAACTTACATCCATTCCCATATTACAGTAAGTTACAGCCATGCTTGGCAAATCTTCGCAAGCGATTTGATGGTCCGACTTTGGAATGTCAGAACGTGGGAAAGCCTCCCATTTCTTCTTTTCGTCGAAACCTTTCTAAAATATAAATTAAATAAATTAATAGACACGTTTTTGTTACCAAATAATCTTAATACGCTAATGACCTAAAATCATAAAATAGATATTGTTGATATAATTATTATCAGTTTGAAAACTTTTTCTGTACCTATTTTAGTTGACTCTAGATGTTCCAAAATGTAGCGAGATTGCGTTGACAAGAATCAATTATAAAATTTACATACTTACTCTGTTTTAAAATTTTCGTTCTAGTAATAATTTTTTTTTCTTATTTTAGAAAAATTAAATTAAAAGTTATAACCCGTAGTACAGCCCCCCCTTTTTTATTATTAAATTATTAACATTCGTCTAAATGTCCGTCTTAATAGTTCGTGGCTTCATCTCAACGTAACCTAATACTTTTTTATTCACAAAAATTTTCGGAATTGGTGCGTTTTCAATCTGGAAATCGGCAAACTTTGTCTATTAAGTTTGGTACTAAAAACTCATGAACACTCATTTGCGTTCTACTAAAATAATAAAATAATTTGATCATAAAATCGAGAATAAAGGTAACAAACATATTGGGCCGTTTGGAGTGACCTCCATTCCGAACATGTCAAAATAACGAGGTTATACAGGCCAAACTACCTAATATTTTTGTATGCCACCTTTTTTTTTCCTGATCAAATTGTCTTACAACTGAAGTGAAGAGCAAATGGGCATTTATAAATTTTTAGTACCTAATTTAATTAATCAATTTAATGAGAAAAGGCCCAATTTCTGAGAATTTGTGTAAACAAAAAACATGTAGTTTACGAAGTTTTAGGCGGATGTTAATAATTCGATTAAAAGGGTCGATACCATTGAATATTATCTAGGATGACAATTAATCAGGATGTTAAGAATTAATTTGTTGTATTTTGGATTATTCCAAATGATTTGTTTCATTATCACGCTAAAAGTATAATACTACATCAAAACTAGAATAAATTGACATTTATAGAGAAGAACATACTTTTTTTTATAATAATACAATCTGCCACTTTTGGAGGGCAATAAGTATTAAGGCTAAAATTTCCCATTCATACAATATATAAAAATAATAGAGAAATAACTATAAATATTAAAACAAGTAAATAAATAAGAATAAAATAAAATGAATCTTCTAAACACATTCACACTTATGTACAATGTTGGATTCTCCGAGCCAGGCTTTGTCCTCCACAAGTGGAAGGCAAAGCAAGACTCCAGGAGATCCCAGTGCCTGTAGTACATTAATAAGTCAAGAGAAATATACAAGGTGTCCTGTAAGTAGAGGGAAATTTTTATAGGAGGGAAGGTAAATCTAATCTTATTTCGTGATAAACTTTAATTTAATTAATATGAACTTAAAGCTTATTAAATAAGTCAGATTTTCTGTAAGTGGAGTAGCGATAATATATTTGGAAGATGATAAAAAAAAGTCGCGAACATTTCATGATATTTACAAAAACAGGACTTATATTACTTAAGTCGATCATAAGTTGTTTTTAAATATTTTTACCAATGACAAACTCTGCTTATATTTAAATTAAATTTTGTCTAGTTTACTTTGAAGAAATTGTTAATTGCTTATATCAAGGATTTTTTGAGTTATCGCTTTCTATTCAACAAAAACGTGACTTATTTAAAAACCCACAAAACTTTATTTCCTACTTTTCTGCGGAAAATCAGACCATGGTTTATACGAAAATTTTTGAGGCTCTTGAGGTCTACTATCACGTTTTTGAATATTTCTCTTTGTTGATGTTAATTGCTTATATTAAGGATTTTTTGAGTTATCTCTTTCTATTCAACAAAAAAGGTGACTTATTTAAAAATCCACAAAACTTTATTTCCTACTTTTCTGCGGAAAATCGGACCATGGTTTATTCAAACTTTTTTGAGACTCTTGAGGTCGACTATCACGTTTTTGAATATTTCTCTTTGTTGTTATTAATTGCTTATATTAAGGATTTTTTGAGTTATCTCTTTCTGTTCAACAAAAAACGTGACTTATTTAAAAACTCACAAAACTTTATTTCCTACTTTTCTGCGGAAAATCGGACCACGGTTTGTATGAACATTTTTGAGGCTCTTGAGGTCGACTATCACGTTATTGAATATTTCTCTTTTCTAACTAGGCACCTTGTATAATAGTTTTTCGCGTTTCCTGAAAAATTGTCAATGATTGTTAGTTGGGGTTCACTTCGGAACCAAGCGACTCAGTTGAAAAGGCAATAAACAAGCTATAATTAAATTTAAAGAAAATTTACATGAAAACTTACCATCGTATCCAAAGCCATTGTATACATCGAAGAACCCTCTTTAAACATGAATTGGTATTTTGTGAAGTAAAATACAGGAGCTAAAAGAGTAACAGTCTTCAGCTTACTTGCTGTTTCTGGAACCTTGCTTGCAATGAGGAAGAAGATTGTGGTTCCTATTGAATGGCCAATGTAGTGGATCTGTTTCGCTTTCGTCTTCTCGATGACATAATCGACTTGGGCGGGTACATCGTACAATCCAGATTCTTGCCAACTAATGAATTAAAAGAAATAATCATTGGTAATATGTGTAGTGAGAATATATTGATTCATTACCATTATTTTATTTTATTATCATTTAAAAAGTATCAATGTCCCGTTTCAATTTTATTAATATAATTAAATTAAATTGTAACGACTAAGGCCAGGATTTATATATAACAAAAAACAATTGACATTATTAACGTGGAGAAAATATGGTGCCAACGTTCTATCCAAAACATGGTTGTGCATCCCCAAGAAGCTCCTTAAAGTCCTTTTAGAGTCCTTAAATTCTCTAACATGCATTTTAGCAATTGGTCAAGCTATCCTCTCATTTATAGCTTGTGGCATTCATAGCCCGAGGTACAGACAGACCTCTTTTTATCAAATTATTAACAACCACCAGAAATTTCGTAAATAGCTTCATCTCACCACAACCTACAAATAATATATCAACAAAAATTTTCGGAATTCAGTCTGGAGATCGGCAAACTTTGTTTATATAATTAGATGCTAAAAACTCGTAAATACTCATTAGCTTTCCACTTGAATCGAATAATTTGAGCACAAAATTGAGAAAAAAGGTGGCCTTCAAAAACATTGGCGTGATCTGCACTCTCAGAATGTCAAAATAACGAGGTTGTATAGGTCAAACGGCCCAATATTTTTGTAGGCCACTTTTATTTCTGGTTTTTTGTCCAAATTATTCAACGATCCAAGTGGAAAGCGAATGGGTATTCTTAGTACCTAATTAAATAGACAAAGTTTGTCGACCTCCAGATTGAAAACGTCCAAATTCCATGAGTTCACGTAAATAAAATATTTCTAGGTTACGATGAGATGAAGCTATTCACGAATTTTTGGGCGGATGTTAATAATTAAATAAAAAGGGGTCGTACCACGGACTATTAACCTTGATTTACTTTCTTTCTAATATTAGTTGCAGAATTTTGAAAACTGGCATTTGTTTATTATTATTATTGGTATTTGTTTATCATTACTAATGATTTTTACTATATTTCACAGTTTACGTTTCTATTTATTTATTTAGTAGGGTGTGTTACAACTAGTGTTGTTTTTAAAATAGGATATATTTATAAGTTATTATATAAACTTTTATACTTTTATCGACGCAACTTCTACTTCTTTAAAGGCACTGCTTAACAATTTTTGGATTTAGTTGCAGGCAAAATAAAATATTATGATAGTGAAGGTAGCCACTATATTCTAATTGAAACAGTAACTAATCTTAAATACCAATAGTAAACTGTATATATATATATATATATATATATATATAATATATATTATATATATATATTATATTATAGCTTCTGAATAATATAGTATGTATAACCAATATTTTTTTTTTCTTTTTTTTAATGATCTATCTTTGTCTTAACTTTTTATGTTTGTTTTTATCTGGCCAGATATAAAATTTTAATTTCTGTACTTTTTTGTTATTCCGAAGAATAAAATTATTTTCCTATTCTATTCTATTCTATATCTGAATACCACACTGAGGATCTAGACCCACAAGAGGTTGAAAAAATAGATATGCTGGATGTAGAAATAGCTATCGAAAGGCTCAAAACAAGAAAGGTCCCAGTAATAGATAACCTACCATCAGAACTCTTTAAAAATGGGGGAGACGACTTAAAAGCCAAGCTACTACAAGTAATCCAGAAAATATTCGAAGAGAAAAGGATACCTAAATCTTGGAATACGGGCCTAATCTGTCCTATTCTAAAGAAAGGCTCCATGTATGAGTGTAGCAATTACAGAGGCATATCACTCCTTCCGGTTGCCTACAAGATAATGCCCATAGAACATAGAATAGAATAGTTTAGTTTATTTGCCTGAGGAAATTCCTGTACAAATAAATATAAAGGTAAAATTAACAATGTTAGATCTTGAGTCTTGTAATGTGTTCAAACATAACATTAACAATGTCCACAGCATTAAGTATTACTAACATATTATAATATCATGATCTAACATTGTTAATAATACCTTTATATTTATTTGTGCAGAAAGTACTTTAGACAAACAAAATAAACTATCCTATGTTCAAGATGAAGACCAATATCCTACTAAACCGGATATATCTGTATTACGAAAATATAATACGAGACAACCATGCTGGATTCAGAAAAGGGAGGATATATATATATATATATATATATAATATATATATATGTGTGTGTGTGTGTGTGTATGTATGTAATATACAATAATAAATGATGATGTCATTACCTCTAGAACCCAAGCAGCATTATCAGTAACATTCCAGGAATTCGAGGAGGGAGCAGCTAAAATGGGCCTTGGGGAGCAGCGTTAATGAAATTAAGGCGTTGTACATGAAAAGTTCACGAAGGAATAAGGAAGTGAATAGATAAATAACTTTAAGAGATTATTACTTCAGGCCTGTAAACCAGTTCAAGTACCTGAGAAACCTGGCTACATACAATAACAAAGTGGAGAGTGAAATAAAGGCCAGGATAGCAGCAGTAAAAAGGTGTTATTTCTCTCTGCAAAGGGATTTGAAATTTAGTAACAAAGTTCAAATTAGTAACATATTAAAACTTTGTGTTGAATAACAGAATTGAAAACGAACCTTTTAATTAATTTTAAAAACCGTTTCATATTTGGAATCGTAATATCTTTCGAGCCAATATTTCATTTTATTTTAAAGAAAATGATGCACTTTTTTAATATTATAAAAATATAAGTGCCAGTAAAAAAAATTAATAAATTGAAACTGAGTCTGGGATTTATAACAAACTCAAATTAGACATGTTACCTTACAAAAGGTCGGGAAATTCAAATTTCTTTTTTATATTGTTAGGTATGCAGTGAATATAAAAAATCCCAAGTTTCCGCCCTTGAAAGCTTTCTGGGTTCGCTGCAGTGCCCCAAAAATCATTCAAATCTCGACTGTTTTTAGTTTGCGCTAAATATCTCATTTTTAGAGCAGCATAGATAATAAATAGTTATGTTCAATCTTAAACAGCTTAAAATTATCTAACATTTTTGCACATAACATTTTTTTCTAAACCCAACAGGAAGCGAACTATCAAACTTTCAAAATTTACCCATTTCAATTTCTTCACGATAGTGCTCTTTCAGTTTTGAATAGAAGAATTATGTAACTCCATTTTAAACCTTTTTCAGAGAATTTGGAATTTTTCTTGAAGATGAATGAGCCATTGACGGGAACGGTAGGTGGTAGTAAGAAGGTGTTTTGAAAAGTATGATACACGGTGGACCAGACCACCCTACTGTGCACTATTCCCGCACATCCCAATAAATTGCATACAGTTGCGTTCCTTGCAATTATTTAATAAATAAAAGCTAATGTTTGCACAAATAAAAGTGGCCTCACTGTCCCAAAATGAAGTTCAAACATAGCAGAGGTCTTTGAAGTTCGTTAATTTTTCCGTCATTGAGTTCCAGCATTTGGCTTTACTTCGCCATAATTGGCTTTTTATTAAAGCTTGATAGTTAGGAAATAGCAAAACATGAAAAATATTGAAAAAAATAATTGGCCTGGGCATTAAAAAACACCAGTAAAGTCAAGTTTTTCAAATCGTTCAGGCTGAAGTTAAAAATCAAGTATCTTTTGTAAATAAATGGCCAACAATATCGAACAACGTTACGAAATAAAATATCTGTTGAATACATTTTCATTTCTAAAACACTGATTATTTTAAAAATACTTGAAGCAGTTACTCAAAAAATACACTTAATCGACCGGAAAGCGGCACTGGCGTAGGCATCTAGAGTCCACTGCCACATCATTAAGTACTTATAGATGTTTAAGTAATAGTATGCTATAATGATTGTATTAATATTTGATTGTATTAACGAAGAAATATTAATATAGTAATTTAATTGTCAATTTTTTTTTTTTTTTTGTCAGAGCTTTACTCATTTTGAAAGCTCGATAGTTTGCTTCCTGTTGTGTTTAGAGAAAATATCCTGTATAAAAATGCTAGATAAATTTAAGCTGTTTAAGATTGAATATAACCATTTTTTATCTATGTCACTTTAAAAAGGAGATATTTAGCATAAACCAATAACATTTCGAAATTTTATTGGTTTTTGGAGCACTGGAGCGAACCCTTTCAAGGGCGGAAACTTGGATTTTTTTATAGTCACTACATATCTAACAATATAAACAAGAAATATGAATTACCCGACCTTTTGCAAGTTCGACCCCCCTTTTTTTTTTGCTAATTTGACTGGGCTATTAGAAATTGAAAGAAACGAGGAAGAGAGATAACAAGCTAGGAAATGAAAAACAACAACATATTTTAAGAAATTAATAACTGAAGGTAGCATTATTTTATTGTTATTTTTATATTGAAGAACGACCTATTTTACTATGGAATTCCCTCTTCAATGTCCCGTTTTAATCATTATTATTAATTTTATTGAAAATAGGCAAATATATGTATCCATCCATATCTTCAAATTTTAGATACTGTTATTTTCTAGGTGTTTTCCCATCACCCAAACAAGTCAGCAAATTCCCCAATACCTGCCCTTACCCTGGTTTTCCAGTTCTAAGTAAAACTCCTAGCTGAACACACCTGTAAGTCTCTAATTTTACTCTTCTAATTTTCTTTACTTATTTATTTAATTTTTTGTTTTCTTTTCTTTCTCCACATTTCTTTATGTCTATTATTTCATATTATATCCTTTTCTTTCAATCTCTCCTGTAGATCTGTAGAAGTATATTCACATTTGAATATATTATATATTACACTACAATGGTTATCATCTATTTACTTCAGTTTAGGATCTTGTTACTTAGCTTACTCTGTTCATATTTTAATTTACTTACTGTTTATAATTTTAATAAGCTTATTCACATTGTTTATAATTTTTTCTCTAAATATTATGTAACTTCCACAATTCTCTATCTTTTTGTATCTTATCCGTTCTAGCCCTGAAGAAGACCTGCAAAGTCGGGTCGAAACGTTTTCTTTTAATAAAATAGTTCTACCACTATTTAGCATATTTATGACCGCCACCCCGGACCATCTCCTTCCTTTATGTTTTTATCCTCAAATATGCAAAAATTAGCAATATAAATTTCGGCCAATTGTATCTAGGTACACTGTTTCGTATTGATATTTGACCGTCAGTTGATCAAAAACTGCATGCTAATAAAATATGCAGTTGCATAAAAATCTGAGCCTTGATAATAACTAACCTAAAATCCCAAAATTTGTCGTCAGTTTCCGGATTGAGAGTTGTGTGGTTTCTGCCGTGTATCGAACCTCTTGCTGCCGCTAACCACACGTCATGGCCTTCGTCTGCCAGCTGGTAACCTGTGTAAAATACTTACATTATAAGCTGCGTAAATTTTAAGAATATTTACTTAATAAAATGAAACAAAAAAATATATTATAAAATTCAACAAATAATCTTGTTCAATGTTTATTTTTGTAACTTAAATGAGAATAAATTTGAAAAGGTTTCGGTTATATGAAAATCTCATTTAGATTCCATGGAAACATTTACTTTTAATTCAACAATATAAACATAAAAAGCATTTACTACAACAATAATTAGTAATTAGGTTTCTGTTAGTTCTCATTGTATTATACAACTTTACACTTCAGAAATTGATTTTTTTATAAAATATTTAGCTTCCCAATGGTACATTATACATCCTGGATTATAATATACTCTAGTAGTAGTGGACTTGGATTTAATTTTTAGTGGGTGTGTTATTTTTTTTTTATTATTTATAATTATTTTTTTACAATGTAAATTGCAATGGGAAAAAAAGAAACCTTATAAAATAATGTTAAAATGGTCATTGAAGTTCTGCCAAAAAAAAAAAGGAACAATTATACTTCTAGAAATCTTTAAATATTTTTTTCTTTAAACATGTTAACATTTAGTAGCTGAAATACATACATTATAATTAAAAAAGAGTACATATTTTGAATGTTGAAGTATTTAGCTCAGTTCACTAACAGAAACAAATATGGACCAATGAAAAAATAATTATTTTTCCATTTGGGATGTGGGGGGTACGGGGCATCAGCCCGGAAGGGGTTATTAAAACGTGAACTTCCATGGAAAAGTAAGATTCGAAATATTCCACGAACGCTATACTTAGTGTTGCCCAAATGCGAGACTGAGACGAGTCTTGGTCTTGCAAACTCAGTCTTGGTCATGGTCTAGGTCTTGCGCAAGAGTCTCACAACAGTCTTGCAGTTACTTATTAGCTTATTGCTATATAGATATTATTGTAATTTTTTAGGTAGGAGAAACCTAACTAAGCCCGAATGAAAAATTAGAGGAGTTAAATGCAAAAGTATATGATTATACCAACTATTAACATATAGTAACTAAGATTGTCAAGTATTAGTAACTATAGCCTTAATTTTAATTTAAAAAATCGATTTGTTTTACCAGTCCTGGTCTTGGTCTTCCAATCGGCGCTGTTGGTCTTGGTCTTGCACTTTGCAAGGCTATCGCTTACTATTTCATGTATAGTAAGGGAAATCAACAACCAAATACAAAGAAATTTTTGTAAAAAATAATTACCTTGCTTCGGAATATCTCTAATTGTATGTGACGTTGAACTTTACTACTTGACGTTCATATATATCTTTTTAAGATATACATGTTGGTGTGTACAACGTCTTTAATTATTTATACTTAATTCATAAAGATTTATAAAAAAAGATGCAAATAACATTATCAAAAGATAAAAATAAATGATCTATAGTAATCGAGCATGATTTTTATGTAGATAAAGTACCGGATCACATTTAAAAAAAAAAAAAAAAAAGAAATATTTTTCTCTTCATAAGAAACAAAAATGTGAGGAGAAAAAAAGAGACTTTTAAAGAAAATAATAATTATTTTGTGGAAACTAAAAAAAATTGTTTTATTCGATAAATATTTTCGATTAAAAGGGTACTATCGAACCTTTTTATCATTTTTTTAATTCCATAGAAAACATATTCCATCTCATATTTGTTATATCCACCTACTTTTTTGTTGATTATTATTTTTTTAATTTTAATTTTTATTGCATTTTTTTCACAATTTAAGACATTGTTAGCCACACCATACATGTACAGGATATAAATAAATTAAGTAAAATAAAATACAATCTTATAACTAAATTTAAAAAAATATATTATATAAAATAAACTTAAGTATAAATAAAGTAAAATAATATCTCAAATGGAGGCATATCTATTTACAACATTCCATGCTTGAAGAACTTGGGCAAATAGTTAGGCTTTTTCGAAAAGTTAAATATTAAATTAATAACACAATTAAAAATGTTATTTCTCTTGGGCGAATGTTTGTTGGAAACGGGATAAAAATGACAAACTAGTTCAATTTCTCTGATAAGGATTTAACTTAGGTTTTTTGTTTGTTTTGTAAATATTTTTGAACTATTTGCTGTTTTATGTTAAAAATTTATTTGTTTTAAGAACCATTATCGGATTCATTCAACGAGGGGATGGAGAGGGGATTTGGGGTTGAAACCCCCTCTCCACCCAAAATGGAATTTCGTCTTTTTCACTGGTCCATGTATTTTTCTATGAGTAATCTGAGCTTGAAATACTTACAATATTAAATTTAAATAATGAAATAAATAAATAATATAAATAAAACTAGTTGGTCTATGCGAATAATTCGCAGACTATTTTGTTTAGTGAAGGAATAGCAAAACAATATGGAAATAAATAGATCCTATGTATAATGAGAGGGAGGAATAAATTGTTTTTATTTGGCCGATTACGATATTCCATTTAACATTATACCCCTCCGAGGCGTCTGAAAAGAAGATGGCCTCGTGATCTCCTTATATAGACATATTATTAGAATGCTACCTGTGGTTAGTTTCTCAACAAGCGTTTTCAAGTTATTATATTCTTGCGTACACATTTACTTGATGCATTTATATTGTAATACAGTTGTAAATATCTTCAATAAAAAGTTTAAAAAAACAAAAAAAAAACATAATAGACCAAAATATTTGTGCAAATTCCTTTGCTAGGGTCTATTTTTAAACGCTGACCGGAAAGGTTATGTACAAAATAAAGCCTCAATCTTAGGATTTTCTAAATGATTAAAAAATATAAAATGTACGAAAAAAAATTCCCCTTTAAGAAATAATAAAGTATATAGCAGCCAGAAAAAAAAAGTAATAGAATAGTAAATGCAGTATCTGCAGTTTCTCCAGAGATGACTTAATGGAAACCTTAAAATATTAGGACATTTTTAATTTCTTCTCAGAAAAATGAAAATTACATTCAATATGAAGATTTAGTGGAGGACTCAATCAAGACTTGAAAATGGCCCTAGTGTTGGCCGAAACGTTGCCTAGATAAAATGAAAAATAAATAATGGAAAGAAGGATAGTTAGGGTGATCAGTCAAAATTAAATGGCAAAAATAAATATTATTATTTATTGTAACAAATAATAAATATTATTATTTATTTTTGCCATTTTATTTTGACTGATCACCCCAACTATCCTTCTCTTTATTATTCACTACAGTCAACCACCAACCCACAATTATGAAAACTAGATAAAATGTTGGTGGAATAACGGCCTTAACTTATATAAATGAAAATAAATGCAGTATCTTTAAGGAGGAAGAAATTATTAAGTATAGCAAAATTAATGGACAGTATCTTTTTTAATAACTGTCCGATTTTTTTTTTTAGTTTTGTAGGTAATTTAGTAACCTTTATAATTATCACAATCAAGAAAAAAAATGCATAATTTTTGAGTTATTCGCAAATAAAGTTTATTTTCCTTCAAAACTTTTCCCCTCAAATTTCTAGAAAATATAAATATTTTTTCCGCTTTAAGGAGAAGAAGATCTTTAAATGAGGGCTCAATCATTGGATTTGATGAAGAAGTGACGAGATTATGGCGTTGCGACAAAAAAACGCCCTTTAGAAATAATATATATAAGCTAATTAAAAAATTAAATCCTCATTCTTCTATTATTATGAATCATCGTATCTTCTATTCGTTTTCATCTAATTATGTAAAATAATTGTGGGTAAATGGTTGACTGTCGTGAATAATGGAGAGAAGAATAGTTGGGGTGATCAGTCAAATAAGAAGGCAAAAATAAATTATAATATTTATTTTGACATTTGCCGACGTTTCGACCTGAAGTTGAGGCCATCATCAGGGCTAAGAAAAGAACCAGATAACAAGGTATGAGAAACATAAGTAGTGTAGGTAAAAAAAAAATTAAAGTAAAATGCAGTTGTTAGAATAAATTGTCATTATTCTAACAACAGCATTTTACTTTCATTTTTTTTTTTTTACCCACACTACTTATGTTTCTCATACCCTGTTATCTGGTTCTTCTTAGCCCTGATGATGGCCTGAACTTCAGGTTGAAACGTCGGCAAATGTCAAAATAAATATTATCATTTATTTTTGCCTTCTTATTTGACTGATCACCCCAACTATTCTTCTCTTCATTATATAAAATAACATCATTAAAAATATATATACGATATCATGGATACCTATGCTGTTGTTGAATATTGCGTATATCTCGGCACTGAGGAACAAGCCGTGATTGAGTAAAACTGTTGTTCCGCTAGGTGCTTTGGTTGGTGGTAGTCTGTACATATCCAGTTTATACCCATCCTTAGTCACCACAGGATGTTCTTCGCATTTATATCCATAAAGGGTTGCGAGGTTGCACTAGAATAAAGAAATTACTTTTAGATTATTTTTGGTTATTTACAAGCCTTAAGCAAAGACATGACTGTTTTAAGAATATTTCAAAACAAAGCTCAAATAATTTGTAAATCATGCTATTATGAAATAAACTTCTGGTACTTTGGGAAAATCGCTGTAATTCTTAAAAATATAATGCGTTTTGGTCCCCATAATAATTCGTAAGGAATTTCGTATTCCTGGTCAATTTAACTAGGAGTTGAAAATTGTATTGAAAATTTTTAAAAAGTTCAATTTTAACAGTCCTTGTGAAACTTTTTAGGAAAAAAGTTCTTAAAATAAAAGTTTTAAAGAACTTTTTTTAAATTTTATTAAAGTTCTAGGTTGATATTAAAAGTTTAACTTTTATTTATTTAAGCTCTTAAAAAAAAAGTTACATTAAATGAGAAATAAACAGTAATTGGGCTTAGATTTTAATTTGCCTTGAATTAATTACACATGATTTTCATGTGTTGTGTTTTCGAGTAGCAAAGAATAAAAATCATTTTTTAGACGGACTTTTTAGCGAAATCGATAGAACTTTAAATAAAAGTTCAGTAAAACTTTTACTGGATAAGTGACAAGGGAAAAAGTTCTAGTTCCAAAATATCTGAAAAACTATCGACAGTAAAAGTTCCAGTGATGCCGAAACTTTTTTAAAAATTAAAAGTTTTTCTTCCGTTTTAAACCCTGAATTTAACGTAAGTCACTTACATCAAACCTATTTATTCGAGGAAATAATTCTCCTTTCCATGTTTTTTTTTGCATTTTTTTCTGCTTAAATTGGATTGGATATTATTTATTTTTATACAGTTTAGCGTAGCTTTCCCGTGAATACAAAAGTATGCACATATGTTTTTCAGTTTCTAAAAAACGAGAAATCGTAAAAGCAGTTACTGATGGCGAAAAATGAAGTTGATGTGGCTAAACGATTTAATTTCCCTCCCACAACAGTTAAGTAAATTTTACAACAGAAGGAATTTATCGTTGGACTACCTTCTACGGTCCACTATTTTAAGTTAAAATTAGCAACTTAAACCTAGTTTGTTATTTACATAAAAAAAAAGTATTTTAATTTTTTTTTCTCTACCTATTTATTTTTCTCGTATAATCCAGTTACTAGCAGAAGTCTTGTATTTATACGTAACTATACATTTAATTCAAATAATCAAGACACCAAAATTTTATCTAAACTATTAAAATATTAGAATCTATCTGTTTGAATAATGAGATATAATGAAGAGAAATTCACAATATTATCAAATTCTCTCTTGAAGAATAAAAAAAATAAAGGAACGAATCAAGCAAAAGCCATTGTGTGTAAATATGATTATATATTCATATAATATTTTTAATTTAGACTTATAAAAAAATAAATAATTATAGAAATGAAAAAGCGAATATATTAAATCTACATGAACGGACGAGTTTCTTGTCTTGATCGGGCGGTGGTACAAGAGCTGAAGATTAGATTTGTAACAAAAGAGAGTTCCTTTCCTTTTTTAAAAAATCGATAATGTAATTTATCGCCAATTCGATTCCCGGTCCGTGCTATAGTTTGGTTTTATATAGTTCGTACTTTTTCATCCAACTACAGTATAAATTTCACTAAAATAAAATTTAACTGCTGAAAATATTTTTAGAAAATATTAAATAAACAAATCAAAGTGAAAAGTGAAATAAACAAATCAAAGTGAAATAAAGCAAGTGTATTTAAATAATTATTTTTATTCGTGATTGTTTCGGTTAATGGCGGTTAAATACCTCAACCTAGTTTTTAGCGAGGTGCTTTGACAACGTTAACAATTTATTATTTCGTCCTAAAAGTTCGAAAAACTATCTCTTCTCTTATAAAGTGGTACAATAATAGAGTAAAGATACAATGATATTTTAAACATAATGTAAGAAAATGTTTTTGTATGAATGTATTGAACATTAAATGGTCATAATCTGAACCATGTTCGTTAAAAAAAAGTAATGTATAAAATCAAGAAATAAAATTAAGAATATAATCTAGCCTTATTATTTGTAAAGTATATATAAAATTAGATAATATACTTCCTTCAAAATCAGTAATATTAAAAAAAAAAAAAAAAAAAAAAAAAATCACCTTCAAAAAAATAAAAAAGGATCCGTCAATAAATAGTATATTATTTTCATCATGATTTTAGGAATGCAATTTTTATAAACGTAGAGTATGGAATAAAAAATAAAAAAATTTAGTGATTGAGTTTTCATCCATGAAGTTATCATCACTTTGAACTGATTTGGAATATTTTTTTTGAAAATTGTCAATTTGAGATAACCCATAAAGAAGATACCATCTTCTACGTGACTGTCATTAGTTTCACGCAATCGACTTCCTCCCATTGTAGGAATCATTATTTAGTAATCAGCTAATTCTCTCAAACGATTCATATAATTATTCAAAATATTATTATTATTAGTTGTTTCGACGTGTAATTTTTTTTCATATAAAATATCAATATTAAATTAACTAGTTTTTATTTTATTATAAAAAAACAAAAAACAATTTCTAAATCTATACCGCGTTTGTTTAGTATTGAAATATATTTACTTTTTTTTTTTTTGTTTTTAGAGAGATGGGTTAACCTGTATTTAAAAAAAATGAAATTTACTGCTGTATTACATGAAAAATACAACAAGTAAATGTGACATTGGTAACATGAAGAGAAACTAACCATTGGTTAGAATCAAATTAAAGTTCTATATTAGAAGGTCCCGAGGCCATCTTCTTTTTTCAGACGCCTCTGAGGGTTATCAGGAATAAAAGAGGAAGCAAGGAAGGTTAGAAACAAGTGGGTTCGGGTAGTTCAGAAGTTTATTATGGAAGGATAGGTATCTAGATTGAGCTAAATCGAAAACATATGGTACATTAATAAGGTCGTTATGGATGATTTTTTTGGAGTAAGGAACATTGAGGATTTTGGAATGTAGGATTGAATACGAGAGGAATTCGATGGTTTAGTAGAGCCTCAAAGCTCGATTCCGTAAGTTCAAATAGGCTTTATTACAGCCATATATATGAGTCTTTTGTAAGTAATTGGAAGTTCAGAGTGTTTGTCTAGTTTCAGTCTGGTATGAGGATTCCAATCGAGTCGTTTGTTAAGATGGAGTTCAACTGGTACTGGTGGGGAGACTTACTCCAGCAAGTGGGCCTATTAGTCCTTTTAGGCGGAGTCCTAGGTTTCGGATTCGTTCAACAGGGATAAGTGAGGTATTGTTAAAGGATACTGTAGGGTAAAAAGTCATAGGTTTGTGACGAAGGGTATATCTTTTTTTAAATGTATTTATTTATTTTTTTTCAATTTTAATACTAACTTGTTACATAAGTTCTTGTGCATGAACACACCCCTTAATTCCAACTTTAATAATTAACCCTATAACAATGTTTCTGTTCCTACTATTTGTGTAAATGTTTACTTGGCCAATCCTTTAATTCCTTGTCACTTGAGCTGGGTTTATGGGGTCACTTATATTTTTAAAACGCAAGTACAATGTCAGAAGAAAAAACCGTGATTCGCGGTCTATTGAAATATTACTGGAAGTAATCTCTGAGCCAGGAGTGCCCATTCCACCCAAGGTCAATGGCGGAAGAACATACCTCCCTCCTCCTCTCACTCCCAAGATATTTTAATGCTTATATTTTCTTAAAAACAGAGTAAGTGAAGGTAGAATTAGAAAAATCGTAGATCATACCCAATTACACTTGCTGCGGTCTGTTCCAATCTGGTCTGTTCATACTACCCTTAGTATAACACATTTTTTTTTTATTTCTTAATGACATTTACAACTGTATTACATAAATACATCAAGTAAATTTGGACATAATAGATATAATGACATGAATACACTTGCTGAGTAATTACCCAATGGTAGCACTCTAATGATATGACTACATTAGGAGATCACGGGGCCATCTTCTTTTCAGACGCCTCGGAGGGTAATCAGGAATTGAAGAGGAAGCAAGGTTAGAAACGAGAGGGTTGGGATGATTCTGATGATGAGTTTATTATGGAAGGATAGGTATCTGGATTGGGCCAGATCTGAAACATAAGGAATATTAAGATCTTTATGGATAATTTTATTAGTGACAAAGTAAGGAGCATTGAGGATTTTATGAAGGATTTTGGATTGTAAGGATTGGATGCGAGAGGAATTCGATGGTTTAGTGGAGCCCCATAGCTCAACTCCGTAAGTCCAAATAGGTCTTATTACAGTCAAGTACATGAGTCTTTTGTAATTAATGGGAAGTTTAGAGCGTTTGTCTAGTAAGTGCTGAAGTAATCGGAAACGTCGAGCGGTTTCTTGTCGTTTCAGTCTAATATGAGTATTCCAAGTTAGTCGTTTGTCCAGGTGGAGTCCTAGGTATCGATACAACTTTTAATTCCAAAAATTCATAACCTTTTCAAAATGTGCCCCTCCTCAAAAATTCTAAAAACCTGTCAAATACACCCCCATCAAAAATGTTGATGGCGTAACTTGTCCTTCTGTACACCCCTGCTCCGAGCGCAAAGTTAAACAGTCAAATTAGACACCTTTGTAAAAGATCGGGCTATTTAAATTAATTGTTTATATTGTTAGGTATTGTAACATGGCAACCCATGGTTACGGTTATTTATGTAACAGGTGACTGTGAAGAGTCACTTGTCTTCGTTCTCGCATAGGGAACTTATTTTGTGATGCCGTAATGCTATTGGAAATACCAAAGAAAACCGCTTGAAAAGTGGAAGGAGAGACTTTCTGTCGTATCTTACCGGAGATAATCTCACATTTTGGACCACGTCTACCGGGGGATAAATTGGATATTCTCACGTTCACGGCCATGGTCATACTCTATCATCTAGACGTCGGAGTAGAGAGATTGATGTCTTAAATGTTTTGCAACACCAGTAAATCGAGATATAATAGCCAATTGTATCTGCTGCTGGGCTAGACTTAGGTTAAGTAATTGCTTTCAATTATTTTACCTTTTATATATATATATATATATATATATATATATATATATAATATATATATATATATATATCTTCTTGTTTGTGATACTCATGTTCATATTCTGTTTATAATTAAGTTAATATTAAAGGAGCATTTTATTTTGTTTGTAGTGAAAGTTTCTTATATTATATTTAATTTTTTTTTATATATTCCTTTTTTTATATCTAACGTATGGCAATAGGATTATATTAACTATTAATGTTAATCTGGTCATAATATGTTGTGAATATAAAAACAAAATCCACCCTTGAAACCCACAAGTTCGCTATAGTGCGTCAAAAACCATTGAAATTTTGGATTTTTTTTTTACCTTAAATATCTCTTTTTTTAGAGCGAAATAGATGTTTCCTATAAAAACTATAGTAAAATATGTGTGCCTTAATATTTAATTTAAAAATTTGAACAACGTCACCTATAATAACAGATAATTAATTAAAAACAAATATTTTTTTTTTTGCGAATTTTCAAAACTTTACCCATTTTGAAAGCTCGATAGTTTACTTCCTGTTGGGTTTAGAAAAAAATGTTAGATAATTTTAAGTTATTTAATATTGAATGTGACGATTTTTTATCTATGGAACTTTAATAAGGATATATAAGGAACCAAAAAAGTTCGAAATTTAAATGTTTTTTGGAGCACTGTAGCGAACCCACAAGGCTTTCAAGGACGGATTTTTATATTCACTACATACTTAATTATATAAAAAAGAAATTTGAATTATCCGATCTTTTGCAAGCTAAGACCCCTTTTCTTGTGCTAATTTGGCTTGACTAAAGGCAGTCGTCGAAGAAATGTGTGTCACTGAAGGAGAGGAAGTAATACATCGAAATTCTGCAGGCATTTCAGCAATGGATATTGGGGAGTTTGTTCCTGATGGTCGGGCAGTATATTCAAAACTTTACTGTGAGCAACAAGACTGAGTTTTTGTAGAATAGTCAAAAGAGAGCAAAGTACCGTACTTTGATCAACAGAAACTAAGCCATCTTGCAACACGAAAATCCCCCTCCACATCATTCTCGTTTCATCGAGGAAAAAATATCGGAACTGTAAGCAGTAAACTTTATGCTCATAGTAGCTGTAGTGTAAAAAATGTATTTGTTTTTAATTAATTATCTGTTTTTATGGGTGACGTAGTTCAAATTATTAAATTAAATATTAAAGCAATCACAGTTTACTATATTTTTTATAGAAAACGTATATATCGTTCTAAAAATGAGATCGCCGTCAGTACTTCCTAGCCTCCTTTCTGTACCAAATCACTAGAACTCATCGACCCTTCTATATTTTTCACAGCTTACAATTAAAATACTCCATCCAATCCCGTCCCACTAGGTCTCGTACTTCTGACCTCTATCCTCCTCCTCACCGAACTGCTGCGTTTGACAAAACCTTTGCAATACAAGCCGCCTCCCTCTGGAATTCCATCCCTGCTGATATTTGACACGCTCAATCAGTTTCCTCTTTGAAACCTCTCCTCTTTAAACACCTACTCCTTTCTCAATCCGACTGATTGCGAAATATACTTAAGAGAAATATCTAAAGCACCCCCAGAGACTACCTCAATTTATTTAGGTTATTTTTAGTTTCTCATATATATGTACAATTTTCTTGTTCTTTTCTTTCTCTTCTTCAGTATTTTTAGTTTTAGTCAACTCTTATTGTAAATATATAATCTAATTGTAACCACACAGACATACAATCTGTATTTATAATTTGTTCTAAAGGGACAACAGTCCCAGAATAATAAAATATTTTTTCATTTTTCATATTTAGGGTAAACAAAAAAAAATCCGAAATTTCAATGGTTTTTGGAACACTGCAGCAAACTCACTAGGCTTAAAAGAGTGGATTTTTTTTTTTATAATCACTACATATTTTGATCAGATTAACATTAATAGTTAATATAATTCTATTGCCATACGTTAGATATAAAAAAAAAGGGATATATAATATAAAAAATTTAAATGTAATATAAGACACTTTCACTACAGCTTAGCCCATATATTGCACCATCAGATTATGGTTTATTTATATCAACGGATAATTTTTTTAAAAGATCGGATCTTTGATAATTACGAGAATGAAAAATTGGATGTGGGGAGTTCTTTGCCTCAAAATTAAAGAAGAGTAGTAACTAGCATAAAATCCAAAAACTGGCAAAAAGATGAGTGAATGTATTTGAAAACAATGGACTCTACTTTGAAGAGTAATATTTAATAATGCTTAAAATATGTAATGTGAAACAAAGCTATTCCTATGTACAAAGACTTTTGTAACAGCCTTGTAATGGTAGTTATTGAATCAATAAAGCTATTAGGAATAAAATTTTTATAATTTTTTTTTATATATGCTTACGTTTAGTATGACTACGTTTAATAAAAAGAATTCATAAGTAGAATAAAAATATAGAATATAGGACTATATATGTAAAATACTGTTTATATTGATTTATTTTAAAAGAGAAATAACTAAATTAAAACTTTTTTACAGAATCTTGAAAATGGCTCAAGAGGCCGAAACGTTTAAAATAAAGAACTAAAATGAAAGCGTATGTTATTGGTGACCGTTGGGCTAGTACCTTTTTAAAAAAAACAAAAACAGAAATATATATAGATCAATGAACAAAAAATTATTTTCCTATTATTGGGAGTCAGGGTTCAGTCCGAAAGAACTCCTCCTCCCTTCCCTTAAATCTATTGATTTTAAGGTTATGTTTTGGTTTTTCTTTTATAAACAAATAATGTTTCAGGGGAGTCTGCTAATTGTGTGAAATAAATAATTTGAGCCAAACAGCTTGCTGAAGTGTCATATATTCAATACAAATAGAGGATTTTTTAGATTATGCTCTTTCCCCATTCGTGGGGGAAAGCAAGATTACTGGAGATCCCAGCGCTTCATCCCTCCACAGATCTAGAAAGCCATTGTAGGCCGAATAAGGTAGTATAAAAGCTTCATAAATTATACTATAAGCAGATTGTAATTAATCGAAAATATATATTTTTTAATAATGGTTAACATTTCTTGGAAAATCATAAGGAAAAAGGCAATGAATATATTTCTTTTTCCCCATTATTGTTACATTACACCTCAAAATATTCTTTTTTAAAATATATTAAAACAAATTTAATTACATGAGGTAACAAAAATGTATTTTCATATGGATAAAAATTGCATTTTCTTTCTCAAATAAATGAAGCATTAACATGTTTGTATTAGTTCTACGAAAGAAACGTTCTTAAGAAAAACGAAAATTTTTATTAATTTATTTTTGAGATATATTAGACACTAATTTCTTAAAAATGTTTAATTTACTTATTAGCTATAAATCAGAACAACACATATTTGCTATTCACATTTGTTAAATACCCATCATGTTAATGATGTTAGAAAAAAATATAAGTTGTTTGCAAGAGGGTCGAAACTGTATGTTTCTAATTTGATCCATATTTTAACAAATTTTATGATGAATTTTACGGTTACATTTCTTGTAAATTTACGGTTACTGTTAAATTTCTTGTTACTTTGAAAAGATGTCTCTTACCAGAGGCTGCAATGGGGGTCCCTCGGGGGGTGGAGGCTCAGTGTCTTCTTCATCACCCTCTTCTTCTTCCTCCTCCTCTTCCTCCTGGGCGGGAACTCCAACGGCCAGGAGAAGAAGTGGAAGCAGTAGGGCAACAAATGTAATCGGTTTCATCGTCGCTGTAGGGTCATCCACCATCACTCTTATAGTCTCTACACAATAGTTGTCACATCCTGCGTCCTTGCGGCACGCCATGACGATTGCCTTTCTGATAGCTAATAAACATTAGCGACTCTTCCATCGAGTTAAATTTTTTTAAAGCAAAATCAATATGATATAGGAAACTCCAGTATGTTCCTACGTGGACACATTTATAGATTAATAGTCAAGTGGTAACCACCAATTTGTGTTTTTTCCCCACATTTTCCATTGTTCGATTCTGTAAATAATAATAAAAATGAATAATTCTAATGCATAAAAAATATTGCCCATATCCTTATATAAAATAAATAATTATTTAATGATTCATTAAAAATGTATACAAATCATAAAATTACTTTATAAGATATATAAATGAAATGAGTAATTTAAGTCTCATAAGAATAATAAAAGAGTTCAGACATTATGCACATTAGTCTAGAATCAAGAAATACAAAACGGTAATTGTCAATTAACTGTAAGCAGGTTGAGGTTTCGAGCCCTACAAGATTTTGGTAAAAATTTAAAGATATTTTGTAAACAAAATTACATCTCCCAAGGCATGCACTGAATTATATTTTCGGATACAAAATAGGTCTCGTCTTGATGTACTCTTAAAAACTAAAAATTATCCTAGCGAACGAGGTGATGAATAAAAAGGTTCATTGGTACTAAAATTAATTAGATTTCGAGGAAAATTATAAAATTAATCTCAATATTGTAAATTTAGCTGATTTTTGTGCAAAAGTGACCTCTGTTAGGTATAGGTTAGAGGACTTAGAAAAACAAAATAATCTAGAAAAGCGAGTTCGTTCTAGTTTTTCTACATACGCTGAACCTTGCTCAGTTGATACTGTTACACCTTATCTGAGGGATAGATTTGACATTGTAATGATAGGATCAATTTTTCGATGTAGGGCATAATTGCTCAATTTAAGCTATGGATGCGTAAGGGCAATGATAACTGCCTGGTATGTCTTATGATATCATGATGTAATATGCCCAAGAAAAATATGATATCATTTACTTCTTAGGGAATTGTTATATGTGCGGTGAAATAAGAGAAAAATATTTTGTGCAATAGAAGAAATATAAATGGAATGAATAAATTAAGTATCGTAAGAATAATAAGAGTTCAGAAATTATAAACATTAATCTAGCATGAAGGAATACAAAGAAGCTTGTCAATTGACTGTTAATAGAAATTTTAATTACAGAAACAAATAATTCCTACATAGCTGTGGAAGTTTGTAAGATGTAGGATGGATTTTCGGTTCTGACGACTTTGAAGAGAAAAACACCAAGGAGGAATTGCCGTCAGGAAGTAGAAAGAGCAATTATACTCGGTATACCACCAGGAAACATGAAAACGAGGAATCCCAAATACCTCATCTCTTGTCTTGGAGATAGCCCTCAGTACACCAAGCAACCGTAGTCAAAGTGGAGGAAAACAAGGTAGGTTCCAAGGCGCTGTCTTGTTTTTTGAGGAATAGAATCACCGAATATTAAATATTTTTTAAGGATGGTTATGGATATCCAAGTAATCTTAGAAATAAGGTTATCCCAGAAGAGATTCTGAATGAATTAATAATTTATTAATCCTCATACCAGACAAGAAACCGCTCGACGTTTCCGGTTATTTCAGCACTTACTAGACAAACGCTCTAAACTTCCAATTAATTACAAAAGACTCATATACATGACTATAATAAGGCCTATTAGGACTTACGGAGTTGAGCTATGGGGCTCCACTAACCATCGAATTCCTCTCGTATCCAATCTTTACAATCCAAAGTCCTTCGTAAAATCCTCAATGTTTCTTACTTTGTTACAAATAAAATCATCCTTAACGATCTCAATGTTCCATGTCTCATTCTGTTGGCTCCAACCTTCGTAACTCACCAAGACTTCAAGACTTTAGATGACATCTACAGGACGATGCCATTCCTATATATGTTTTATATAGCAATAAACGAAAAAAATGTGCTAAATTCAAAACAGGAAGCGGTCCACATCCCGCAACACTGTTCACAAATAATAGCCATCCATAAAAATTCAAATGATAGTAAATTAAATAAGGTACGGTAACTTTAGTTAACATACAGTTGCGATAATTTAGAGGGTGCTGACAGTATATCCTCAGCACTCAGTAAGATGATGTTCGACAAGTCTCATTTTCGGAGATAGCTGACATGAGACGAAGAACAAAAACATTGTTCTTATCATTTATGTTTTTAAATAGACAAAACTAATAAAAGGTACGGCATGATATGATAATAATTACATGACATTTCAAATAATTATGTAATACGTATATCGTTAATGTTATTAATTAACTGTTAATTTGTACTAACTGGATTATTATAATTATAGAGATTAATATGGTGCATGGACGCCGAAAGCTTCTCTACAAATAAAGTTTTAAATCAAAAAAGAGACTGAACTCTATATCAATGTTTTTGAACTATCGAGGTCTTGCCACCTTTTTTTTTTAGGCTGATGTATTGTTAACATTGAAGTTTGGCTTTCGATGTTTTTCAGAATCGATGCGACGGTATTTGAATCCTTTTAGCCATCGCAAGGCATACACAGTTCACAATGGAAAGGTAAAAAAATTATAGGAATAAAATTCGATTACGACATGAGAGATCCAAGGGCCTATCCTACAATCCCCATCACTGTATGTTTTAACGTTATTTTTATACCGGTGGGATGGTCAGAGATCCTGTGTCGCCCACAATCTCAATATCCAATTACAGGACATGTATAGTTGGAACTCGATTAAAATAAGAACACTTCATCGAAAAAGTATAAAATTCACAGAAGGAGCTGAAAGGATTAAGAAGTAATACTATTATTAAATTGTTCAACAAGAAATATATTTTTTTTTGTATAGATAACATTGCATGTACAACATGAAATATTATAATGTAATAATAAATGAAATATTTAGAACATGCACCCAGAATTTTAATTACTCTACTTTTGAGATAATAATGCCTGGTGGATAAAAGAAGTAATTAGTCGCTGGAGGTCTAATATTATATAGTCAATAGTATGCTATATTCAGGGGTGCCCAGAAGCGGGTTTCATGACGCTATCGAAATTTTTGAGGGGGCATATTGTGACGAATTTTTGAATTTTTGAGGGGACCACTTTTTGACAGAGTTATGAATTTTCTGAATGAAAAGTTTCATACTAAGGGACAAGACGGTGGTATGAACAGACAACATTGAATCACTGTAGCAAGTGTAATTGTGTTTGATCTAAGATTCTTCTAGTTCTACCTTCGCTTCCTGTTTTTAAGAAAATATGAGCAATAAAAAATTGTTCGCAGCAAGTGACCTACATTAAATTAGTTGATACTGAGTATATGCGAAATTTGATGCTCTACAATATTGATTTTATGGGGTTTTCCTCTTAGGGAACTCATTTCCATGTTACAGGGCCATTTATAGTAATTTGTCTCAGTTTTTGACAAATTTGGTAAAACTCAACGTTGGTTGACCGTGGTTTTATTTACCGCGTAACCAAATTTTAAATTTTATGTACTCGTTTGACTCAAAATTTAACTTTCTTTAATTAATTAAAGAATACATTTCGCTTTGATGCATTGTTTAGAAGTTATAGGTGAAAAACCCAAAAAATATCGAAAAAATCTGACTTTTTTGGCTGTAAAAAGTTTTCCTTGGTGGCCCGATTTAGCAATGTTGTTTTTTACATGTCTAAACCCATATATAACAGTTTAAAAAAAATAAAAACTTTTCTCACATTTTTCATATTGGATTTCCCATTTCCATCATCAAATTATTGGCCTAATATTCTTTAAAAAAGCTGCAATTTTTGAAAGCAGCGGCTCCGGAACGGCAGACAAGGTTTTTTTTACTCAGAATAACATACACTTTCGTAATTTACAATCAAACCTTCGCCTGCGATCTGGTCGATTTTTGGGCCTTAGCTCCAGGGCTATAGGGGAGGGGGGATGGGCATCCCTGCCTATATTATTAAGTCAGTTATTATCTATGTTGTATTATAGTATGGCAGTCACGAATTGGATCACTACCAATCAGTAGCGGATCCAGGATTATTTCAACTAATAAAGGTACACGTAGTTATTTTTAAAAATAAAAAGTCTATTTAGGCAATTATGTTTATTACAATGCGTACCAGATCATGAAAAAACAAAGAATAGAAACATTGCAACAGTTAATTAAAGTCATTTTTGCTAAAACCACCTGTACTTTTATGAGGCGACAGGATAGAAATTCACATATTTCTTTTCTAAAGTGAATCTCAAATTTTTGTCTCATAAACCTCGACTTAATTAACATAGGAACTTAACATAGAAACCTTGAATGGATGAATGAGAAATGCTTTATTAAATATGCATAAATTATAAATTTCTAAAATACACAGAACATTTATACGGAATGATTATTCGTCTGCCGGAAGTTTTATATGTTTTACAGGTACAGTACAAATAAAGACTTTATAAAAATTACATGTACATGAATAACTGATAAATAATAATATAACTAATACAATATAAAATAATAAATATTTTGAATAATTTATGTCTAAGAAATAATAATATAGGAAAATCATAAACAATAACATGAATAAAACTGACCACAAATAAATAATTCTTAATGCTGGATGTAGCAAATTAAAACGGTGTATACACGCATGTCGAACAAAACCGACAATTTTACGATATTCGGTCACAGAGGGGGCATTTAGAAGAGAAATTCGATACGAATTTGACCAAGCATTGAACATTCAGCCAAAAAATGGAACAGGTCTTCCTTTACTGGTAGGTTCCAGAGTGGACAATCCGTATATTCCATGTCAAGCCATGGGATGTAATTCAAATAAAGGAGTTCACACCTCAGCTTCATAGAAACCTTATTAAAAAATACATATATTTTTTGCCTTTTTATTTGCATTCGTGTTTTTCACTTAATCCAACCCCTAACTAAATGTTCAAACATATTTTCTCC